ATTAATGACAGATCCCTGAGTAGAGTTCTCTTTCTCTATGCATGACTTTTCCATTTCATTAGCCATGCCCTTGTTTCACTTTTCTCCCTCTCTTATTCTAGTGTGGTGAAGGCATTGATTAGACATCAGAGTGGCTCGTGGTGAACTCCCCATCATGCATGAAAATGGAGCACGATCAGAGCTTTATGAATTAAAGAAAAAGGTGGCATAAGACATGTATAGGTGCTGGTATAAGTGTTAAGAGAGAGAGGGAGAAATCTGAATATATACAGTATGTCAGGGAAGGCTAATTAACACAGTAGATCAACAAAGCTCCTCAGGAGGAGAGAGCTCTATAAAAAAAACTCAGTGTGTGTGTATATATATATATTGGTATGTTCGTGTGGGCTTTCTTATGCAAACACACACGCACTTCCTTCCCTGTATTAACATTCTGCCTTCAGTGCTGAATGACCCGGTACATAATTACAGACTCTGAAATCCAGATGGCAAACAGAGGAAGCATTTCTCACAGAACGCAACACCCTTTTATCCTCACCTGCTCTTGTTAGCTAAAGGATGAGGCTGACCATATTGTACATTATTCATATTATGAACCAGTTCTAACCAGAAAAGACCAAAACCAACAATGAACTGATCCTTGTACTGCCTGTGTAGCCTGAATAGCCTCCATTTGTTGCCCTTATTAAAAAGGCATCAGAGAGCCACGCTCCAGCACTGTGGCATGTTCTTTCATGAACATGGCTACTGTAGTTCATTTTGAGTCAATCCCAGATCAGCAGACACCATCATGCTGCTGTGAATACTCTTTAAATGTGCATTAATCTGCAATTGCCCCAAAATAAATAAAAGCACTATTTCCTGTTTCCTCCTTAAAACTACGGTAATCAGCTGTTAGGAAATTACTGCACTTTTTAGGCAGATCTATCTATTTGTGACATGTTTATGTCTTCAGTAGGAAAGAATGCACTTTTGGCTGGGAGCCACAGACAATGTTAAGTATCGAGAAAAAGACTAACATTGTAACACACTGCTGGCTTTAGTCTTTTCATGAGCTTTGTTGACAACAAGAAAAATATAAAACAACACCGAGTTTCCCAACTGGTACGGTTACCCTGTGGTGTGGTTTTGCAGTTGCCAGGTGGTACATAGAAAAGTTGTAGAGTAGCTCAACTGATTTGAAAGAATGGAAATTACAATTTGATTAAATTATAGATGTAAGCGGTAATACCTGAATACTATGTCTTGCAACTGGGTTAAATTAAGGAGAGTTGAAATAGTGTGGTAATGAAATGAAATTGTGAAATAGCCAAGAATAATGGATTAAAAGTTGAAGTAGTTAGCTTAAAGTCACATTTAAAATAGACAACAACCATATATATTTGGAACATGAGGGCTGGTTCTGATGAAGGGGTTCATCTGAAAAGGTCATGTCACCACTGCTCTAAAAGAAAATGCGAACCTAAGAAAAGGAGCCATCGCAGCCATATCAGTAAATTCTCCCCTCAGTTGCCTTATCAGCAAAAACACACTTGATGGACACGAGCAACGCTTTGCAACAGCAGCTCCACATCAGTGTAATGATTCTGGGTTTGGAAGCATTTACAGTTACACCACACAATCGTGTTTCCACTCAGAAAATTGCACAGGGGCGCGAACCGCCCATCAATCTATCACCGGTTAGTAATGGAAACAGAAATGTGTACATCCGGAGAAATAGGCAACATGCAGTTCTGACAGTAAAGCACTTGTAAGGGCCATAAAACACAGTTCTGAGGTAGGGACACTGAGCACATCTGTCCATTAGCAATAAAATAGAGGGCCAATAAAAGGGGCAGGTGTTCCTGGAAGAGGTGCGGTACGGGGTTGAGTCGAGGTTTGTGAGGGGGGGGGGGGGGGGGGGGGGGGGGGGTGTATTTATGATGCGAGTCCAATATGAGACAAAAAATAAAAAACATAGGTGTGTGTGCAACATGGAGGCAAGAAATGTGTGTGAGGCGGAGAAAGATATCTGGGCATGTAGCAGTGTATTTGGGAGTTGTTATTTTAGCATGACATCTGGGTCCTGTCTGGCACTGCCTCATCCCATCCCTTTCATGTTTGTGTGTGTGTGTGTGTGTGTGTGTGTGTTTGTGTGTGTGTATGTTTGTGTGCATGCGTGTGTGTTTGTGTACGTGTGTGTGTGCGTGCGTGCGTGTGTGTCACCATGTGGTACTCTAGTTCTCTTTTCACACTTTAACTTTGCTCCATTTTTGAATCACATGCTCCATCCATCCTGCACAAATCCTGAAACCTAATGACAAAATAGGTGTATGGTATAAACTGTAGACTGACTGTAAGCAACCCTGTCTGTCAGACATGAGGTTTATACTGTAAACTACCGATATACAACAGCAGTTTTTTAGAGTTTTTTATATACATCTTGAGGAAATGTTGTTAATGAGCATATCTACACTGAATGTAAATGTTCACTGACAACGTATTTTAGTTTTTCACTAACCATATTATCCATTCTTGCAATTCAACACCTGCTCGTTGCAGCTAAAGCATCATTGTATGGCTATGTTTAGGCACTCACAGTACTTGGTTAGGTTCACAGCATAATTGTGATCTCGGCTGAAGCACAAGGCATTACTTGTTTACCTTGTTTACATTTTAACCCAAACCACAATCTTTACCTAAACTCAGCCACAGTGTTTTTGTTACCTAATCCTATTCACAGCCTGGTTGCACAGTGCAAACCCTCATCTCCGGTGTTGTTGAGGTTTGTATAGCAACCATTTACCCCAACTCTCTCCATAGGATTTGCTTGCTGTAGCACATCCTATCCCCAAAAACATGTTGCCTGTGGACATAATCCAGGTGACAGTCACATTACCCATCAAAAAAGAACTGGCCAAAACAACTATTTAGTTTATTGGGGGTTGCAGTATGGGGTAGGTCAGAGATGGGATGCAAACTCAGCCTCCCGAGTTGAAGTTGGTTGACAGTGCTTCCACCTTTGCTCCTGAGAAAGGACAGCCATTATCTGCACAATTACAAGAGGCCATTGTCATTGAAAATGTAAACAGATCAGCATTTGAACAAACAATCCATGCTTGTTATTATCTGATGAGGACTCTCGTCTCGGTCGGACTCTCATCCGAATCTACCCATCTTGCATCCCCTGCATCATTTCCTCCCTTCCCGTCCTGATTTTCACTCCTCCGTCCACTTCTAATTACAAATAATAATCTCCATGTGTGATCCATCTGTTTTTGGGCAAACATCAAATGAGTGATATCTGCCAAATTTGTTTGGCGAGACATCGCCTTCAGCTGAGAGGGTGAGCTAGAAGCTGAGAGTGTGCTGAGGCTGTCACAGCAGATGCTTTCTGGCAGCCCAGCCTGCGCTCATCGTCCTCCCTCTCTGTCCTCACACTCTCATTCCCGCACATCTGCTCTGTCTGGTCCTCTTCCAGCCTCCTCCCTCTATCCTGCCCTTTATCCTTCCCTCCCCTTTGTCCCACCCTCGCCTTACTAAACCCATTAGCTGTGGTACACACACACACACACACACACACATACACAAACACCGCTCGGTTACGTAAAGGTTGTGGTTTAAACACTGTATAGAGACTAGAGAGGGAGAGCTGTGGCAATAATGCAGTAGCCACCCTACAGCAACTTATCTCTGTGTCTAATAGGGTTATAAATAGTTAAGATATTACTCCCGTGTTCATACATAAGTAACTTCTGCCATTCATCTTTTGATAGGCAGGGAGAACAATGATCCATGGAAACCAATGAGATGTTAAGATAACTTTTCTGAAGGAATGAGCATAGAAAAACACCTCATTTCCCCAGACAAACAGATGTTCACAAAGACCACTCACCCGTCACAAGTGAGATTGTAGGTCTCTTGTAGGATCCTACCAATGGTTTTGTAAAGCTTGTAGTCTCTTCTGCTCTCACTATGAGTGTAGGTGCACAGCTATGCAGCAAGCTAGTCACATTTCCAATTAAGGTTGAAGACGGCAGTTGCCCTGTGAAGTTTTTACTAGGAGCGATTATGAAGCTGTGAACGGTATTGAACAACAAAGGATAGTGATTGCTAATCAGCCGACAATGAGATACCATAAACTATAAAAGAGCTTAATCAAGGGAACTGCAAAACGAGTTAATAAAAATGAATTAGGACTGCAACAACGAAACTAGATTCATTCAACTAGCTGGCAACATGAAGTCCACATAAGAAATGCAAGGCAGTAACGAATCTACTAAACATACATACAAGTCAACAAGAGTAAAAAAAAAAAAGAGTCAAATGCATAACACTTAATAACAAGCTACATATCAGAACAAGTTTATGGCAGCAAAAGCTCTGGGTGTATTAAGTTGGGCAAGTTCTGAATTAAACTTGTTGTTTGTTAGAGAGAGGATGTAATTTCTTCTTTCAGAAGTTACATATTCTTGCTGCTTACATTACTGACTGTGTTCAAAACCAGATCACAATTTTTTTAAGGTTGATTTACAGTCTTCAGGCAGCCACTGGCTTCTATTAATTTTGGTACACCAGTAGAATCTACTGGAGAGACTTGGCATAGGTAATGCATCACAGTCACAAAGTTTGCCTCGAGCTAATCTTAGACCTGCTCCAGTCCAACAAAGTCTACTTGAGACTTGAGCTCAAAGTCTGCACATTCAAGCAGGGATTTAGAGCTGCATCCCAAATCAGCCATTATGATTCCAGCAGTATCCTCTGAATTTAGCACAGTGTTGAGCTCTTTAGTAGTTGTTAATGAATGTTGAAATTCAGCATGGGAATGAATACAAATGAGGTTCTGCCCTGTGTCTCCAACCCCACTGTGCAGGTATGTACAGTAAACATCTAGCCTACTGATTTTGAGACAAATAACCTCATCACCACAGTTTGTAATTTTTTTATTTGACTGTCCGTACTGCTCTCTAAGCATTAATTTTCGTTCTTTTTTTTTTTTTTTTTTGTCTTATTTGTCTCAGAAACCCCGACAAGGGCCTTCAGTTCCTGATCTCACGAGGCTTCATTCCAGACACACCCATCGGCGTGGCCCACTTCCTGCTCCAGAGGAAGGGACTGAGTCGACAGATGATTGGAGAGTTCCTCGGCAACAGCAAGAAGCCCTTCAACAGAGATGTTCTAGAGTGAGTAGCAGATGTTATTTCTTGAAACCATTTTAACACACCCTATCACTGCTCATGAAGTTATTCTCTCTGGTAATCCTTCTATTTTCTGGGAGATCAGGTGTCGGGGTAAACTAAAGGACTGGAACTTATAGCACCAGGACAATCCTTAGCTCTATTACTCACAAAATGGTTGGTGGTTGTGGCTGTTCATACAGCCAAGTGTGTACAGGTTTTGTAGTTGACAAATTTTCCAACTCTGGCTCTGAATCAGATGATTCCCTGAAATCTAAATGTGAAACCATAATTATAACATCACTATCTGTTTATGTGGTAGCTGTTAATTTTGCAGACATTGATATTTCGGTCTGTTTTTCATCACAGTAAACAAACTGAAAATAAGATGAATTTGAAGTGTCATGGTCCAACAAATTTATCCTCATCTGATTCTTCAAATTGTAAATCTAGGTTGACTTGCAAGACAGAATTATAGGAAGAATAAAAGAAGCTGATAAGACAAAAATATAATAAAAACCTTTCCTGCCCTTTATTGTTTCTCTGCTTCTTTTATCATATTAATATTAAAACTACAGTTGCTGTAATGTTGACTTTATTTTGTCACTAAAGAAGTAAAAAACAAGCAATTTGATAATGTAAATAATATTTTTGAGCTATAATAATCCATCTCAGCAGAATAGAGGCGCTGCAACTCCTGCTCTTGGTATTCTGCCTGTGGGTTTGGCTGGTGCCATCTTTACTTTATCTCAGTAATTGTCTTTTTTATTCAATTACATTCTCCCCTTCACCAATTAACTCTGAATTTGCATATCAACCAGAGGACGAACCGCAGATCTTTCTTTCATCCTGCCTTTTGTCCAAGTTATCAAACCGAGAACACCCTTTTAGTCTTTGCAAGGTCAGACAAACACAGCACAGCACTTTACCAACTTGTTCACTCTAGGTCCGGCCTCATCTAATATCCATATTTTCTTAAACGGACACAGTCACGTTCCAAATACATTTTAATAACAGGATTATGCTTTTAGGCCTTCAGACTCCAATTCACAGCAGAGATATACCCTGGTGACATTGGGAGAGATGTATATTTTCTCTATTTTACTAAAGAGCAGTCGTAGAGCGGCACTTGGGGTGGAAGCGACGCTGAGGAGGAGCATCATAGGAGAGTGTAAAGTGTGTGAGAGCACTTTGGATAAAGTGTAGTCATGGGAGAGCGGGTGAGGGATTGCAGTCTAATGTGAAAATCACTCATGGTGATTTACTGAGCCTTGTGCATGTGTGTGTCTGGGGAGGGAGTGTATGCATGTGTGTTTTGTTTGTGTTGTATTTGTCAGTTTTCCTGTATTCCTGAATCTTCCTCCTTTCCTTATAAAGCTAATGGTACCTCATTCTCTTCACATTTCTTCCAGCATACATAACAATAATCAAAGTGTCTCAAGTCAATTAAGCCAAATTGTGGATATAGATTTAGGTTCCAAGAAATGTGGCACCCTGAGGACTCACTTGCTGATAATATAGTGAACTTGTTTAGCAGGAAAAATGGGATCTGCTTTCATCCTGTCATCTACTCATTGGCTGCTCAAAATATGGTTCCATCTGGCCTGCTGTTTCTTTTTATTTGCGCGTGTGTGTGTGTGTGCGCGCGCGTGCGTGCGCATCACGGCATTGTAAGTGTACGATTTAAGTAGCACTATGCTCACAGATCAACAAAGTGTATGCATGATAACAGTATGTATGTGTGTTGATGCGTGTTCGCCCATGCGTGTGTGTTATTATGTTTTGAGTGTGTATGGGGAAGAGATGAGAGGGGAAGGAGAGCGCTGATGTACTTAGGGCTAGAGAGCATCTCGTCTGACGTTACATAAACAAGGAGTGACAGCCGGGGAAGAAGGGAGAGAGAGGTGGTGGAGCGAGGAAGTGAGTCATGAAGAGGGCGATCAGAGAGGCTCGACAGTCGAGAGAGTTGATCAAAAAGGGGATCAAGTCAGACTCATTGCGTAGTATAAGCTTTGGCTTTATTATGTCTAAATCTAATCACTGCTAGGAAATAATACACAGTTTACCTCTCTAAGCTGCCAGTGATGTTACAAATACTACTAATTGTAGCAGTTGCATTAATGTGTAATGTGTAATCCACCGGTGACTGAGACCTTGCTGGAGTGAGGCCCTGCCCCCCTGCAACACTGTACAGAATAAACAATGTGGAGTGGATGGATAGTTGTGCAGTATTAGTATTTTAAGTGGTAGAAGTGGAAATAGTAATAACTGTAGAGCCTGTAGCAGCAAAAGATGGAGCAGAAGTAATAATCACAGTGCAAATAGCAGCAGAAGAGAAGTAGTTTCTGTTGTAGACATAGGCCAAGTGGCATTAGTTTCATCCTATTAGCAGCAGTACTGAGCTGAGTCATAGTAATAACAGACATAGGACAATTAGAAGTGTTAGTACTTGTGGTAATTGTAGTAATAGTGCCTCAATTAGTAGTAATAGGAGACACAGGACAAATACTAGTAGTAGCTGTAATAGTATACTGTAGCTGCAGTGGTGGTAGTAGTAGACATGATAAAGCAGAAGGTAGTACTTGTAGCATAGTTATAATAATATATCATGAGTAGGCTGTGCAATAGGAGCTATAGCAGTAACAGCAGTACTAGTTAAAGTAATAGTGACTGGTGTATAGGAATAAGTAGTACACATAGGACAAGTAGTAGAAATGCAAGTAATAGTAGCTATGGTAGTACTTGTAGTATAGCTGTAGTAGCACTGCTGTTACTATGTCTACCAATAGAAGTAGCAGCAGCAACAGCAATGGTGTAGAACTACTACTAGTAATAGTGGTAGTAGTAACACATACAGGACTAGTAGCAGTAGTAGGTGAAGCAGTGACAGTAGTTGTAAAATTCAATGTACTAGTAGCAGTGGTAGTAGTAGTAACAGTGGCAGTAGACCAGAGGGTTGCAGTAGAAGTCAAAGCAGCAGCAGAAGTTCTTGTGAAGTAGTGGCAGCTGTAATAATATAAATTAGACATGTAGTAGTTTAAATAGTAGTAAATGTAGTAGTTATAGCTGTAGACGTAGGATAATTAGTAGTTATACAGTAGTAGGGAATAGTAGCAATAATAATAGGCACAGGACTACTGGTAGTCTTAGCAGTAGTAGTAGTTGAAGTAGTGGTAGTAGTGCTAGTAGCAGACTTATAAGGGGGTTGTAATATTAGTGTTGGTAATGCTAGTACTAAATGTATTAGTACACAGTTCATGGTGTTGTTACTGTGAGCAGGTTTTGCTGTGATCTCATGTTGGGGTACACGGTGCGTCAGGCAGTACTGTAGAGTCAGCTATCTGACTCTTTTCTGCTGGAGCAGCACATGTCACAGTCAAGTACTCACCTCATTAACTCGCTTTGTTCACAGTAATCCATCTTAATGTAGTGTGTGTGTGTGTGTACGTGCATGTACACCAGCGTTGTACAAAACACAGAAAAGATCAGAAGCAAAAGGCGAAATCTTAACACCACTACATATTTTATGTATTAAAGATTTCGAGATCAACAGCATCTTTGTTGCCGTCCATAACCATCAATAGACTCATAGGAACAGAGGCAATGGTTATGTTTATCTTGAACTAGTGTGGATAGGTAAATCACATGAAAGCCAGTGGGAGTGTTAAAAAAGTCCTTTAACTTTATAGTTTGATTATCATTCTGTTTTGTACCTCAACAGAACACTTCACATGAAAGTGAGGGAAACTTTAAAACCTCCCAACTAGTTTTCAAAGTCACCTTTCACTTCAAAACCTCATTTCACCTCCAAATTGCCCACGTTGTATTTATCCCCCCTGAACTCACCGGACAGGATATTTTGCTTTTTTAATTAAAGTCATTAAGCTGGGGTTGTCAGGTAATAGGAGGATTTTCTGCTCGGAGGGATTGCATGTGTGTGTGTGTGTGTAAGTCTCAGCTACTGTGGCACTGAGGAGATAGCCGGGCCCTGTCTTATCCCTGGTGTCTTGTGCGTGGCTAATACCTGCAGCAAGTACAGTGGTGCTGTGCCCGGGAAGCAGATGGGTGGACTTCATCTTTTATCTTGGGTGTTCATCAACAGGTTTACCCATCCCATCACTGAAGAGGCAGCCACTACTATCATCTTGATGTATTGCAGCGAACATATTGCTATAGATTTTCCTTTTTTCTTCCCTACTACTGCTTCTGCTCTTTCCATATCTCATCCCTCCCGCTATGTGCTCCACAGCTGTGTCGTGGATGAGATGGACTTCTCCGGCATGGAGCTGGACGAAGCACTGAGAAAGTTTCAGGCCCACATTCGTGTCCAGGGAGAAGCCCAGAAGGTGGAACGTCTCATTGAAGCCTTCAGGTAATTAGAAAAGTTGCAGTTGCTGTGAGAGTCTAGGTTTATCTTGCAGTGTTCTCACTTGTATTTTACGGGGAGAACATTCACTGCAGTTTCTACAGATTTCCAAAAACTTTGCTTTTCCTGTTCAGATGACCATGTAAGATGCAAAAGTTAGCATGTCCCGTTAACTAGCTAACTACTACAGACAGTAACCCCACTTTACTTCCAAGGTCAAGGGCATTTCATTATTTTGTAGGTCATATTAAAAAAAAAGGACATTCACAACTAGGACATCTTTGTAGAATTTCCCCAGTCAAAGCAGATGTTATCATACCAGAGTTGCGCTAACATTAGCAGCTCTGTTCTGCTCTAGTGGACTTGGGGAAGTTTGAACTCCAAAAACCCCAGCCAAACTCAACTGAGATGGCATTACATGTTGGTTTCTCAACCCCTAAAGCTTTTAACATTAAAAGTGAAGAGTTCTGTTTGAACAATAATGCATAAATCTGTTTTGTTTGTTGTGAGCTAACAAGGTAAACAGGGTTATGTTAGAATGATTAACAGTCTGATCTTACATTTTTTCTTATTGTACAAACAAGTCAGCCTGAAATATTAAAATGTCATATAGAGACGGAATTTTTAACCAACTCATGAGGCTAACATAGCTTAAATAGTTAGCTAGCTACGGCTGATAAAGTAAATTACAGAAATGAGAAGCATGCTTTTGTCTCATCTTTTCAAAGATTACATGATAGGCAAACCTGCCGCCATTCTCACTGTTAAATGCATATGTGCATGAGATTTGACTGTGAATGACAAATATTCAGAGACAGTGATGTGTAGAGAGAATAGATGCCATAAAGGAGGTTGAAATGAATATTTATCATATTGTAGGTTATGCAAAATAACCCTCATTTGTCCTACTGTTGTCATTTATTTTCTGCTGTAATGTCATTTGGGTGTGTTGATACTTGAGTGGGTGTAAAAAAAAAAGAAAAGTGAAATGAAATACTGTCACTCAAAGAATTAGCTCTGGGCCAAATTTGTCTTGCAGTGCTTTAAGATGCAATTCACAGGTTTTTTGATCATTAAATATGCCGACATCAAGTTATGAAGGCGTGCAGAGAGATACAGATGTGAATCTTTGATATTTTTCCATGAGTTGTGAGATCAGCCCTCTGTGTTTTTTTTTTTTTTCCCTGGACGTGAAAGAAAGAGGGAAAAATGAAAACATGCTAGTGTGACAAAATTTAATCAGATGAAACTGACAGGTGGCCGTACACACAGAAAGAGACACGTGTTAACAGCATACTCTATTTCAAAGGTGTAATGGATAAAGCATGGACTGTTAACCTATATAAACATAATATGCACGAGTGCATGAACATTATGTCACTTCTGTAATGTCAGCAGCTGAGTCACACTGCCTCACTCCACCAAACACACATACACACTCTCTTCTTTCCTTTCTGCTTGGCTACAATAAAATGTTGACAATGCAGCCCCCATGTGAATAGCCGAGCAGCATGTAATTTCAGTCCACAATTTGCGACAAGAAGACAATTTGCAGTGCAGCTGTGGCACTGTGCGTTAATGCTAACTGTTTGCTGTAGCCCCTCTGGGGTAACAACCACCTGTCACAGAGGTTGAGGTGCCCAATGAGGAGAAAAACGGCAACATTGTCATAGTCAGTGGGCAGAAAGGTTGGCACTGTTAATGTTTGGACATCAGGCTGACTCTGCGTGTTATCAGGAGCGGGAGAGGGGAGGAGTGAGGGAGAGGGCGAGGAGACACGAACAGGGATAGGAAGGAGGGAAGGAAGGAAGGAAGGAAAGGGGAGAAAAAGGAAAGAGGGAGGAAGGTTTATAAATAACCAGCGTTGCATAACCGCCACTGCCTCTCTGTGCCTGCCTCCTCTGCTCCTGGGCTTTGATATGCCTCCAAACACACACAGACACACACACACACGCACACACATGCACAGAAAGAGAGAAATCTCCAAAGTAAGTGAAGGGGATTTGAAGCAGCAGTGAAAAAGAGCGAGGGGGAAAAGTGAAAAGCAGCCAGCAGCCTCAGTATCTGCTGCGTCAGTGTACTAATGAATGAGCCAGAGAATATGAGAATATGAGCCAGCTCCCAATGCTGCAGATACATTCAGTTTATGTTTTCATTTCTTCATTACAGTGTAGTAACCAGATATCCTTATTTACTCATCCTGCAGTCACAGACAATTGCTGGGTTTTCTGTGTTTGCCCCATATATTATAGTTATTATAGATAAAGATCATGACACTTGCTTCTTGCACCTAAATCCTCCAGGAGTGCATAATTACTGATGGATTACACCATCTTTAGCAATCTGTACAAAAGCTAAATTGGTTTGGAAGACAGCAGCAAATGCCAAATTTGAAGACTGCCAAATCCATTCAGGGAAAAGCATCATGTGCCATTTTTACCCTCTTCTTTTTGTTTTTTCTCCCTGGTTAGTCATTTTTCCGCCTCTTTCTGTGTGAGCGTAAGGGCACACTCAGATAAAAAGCAGCATAAATTAAGGTTTTTCACCGCATGGTGCTGCATTAGGATTCACAGACAAGGGTATAATTACTGGTTGCTGTCGAGTCACGGTTTTCATACACTGAGATGTGAATAAGCATCTGTGTGCAGCCCTGTGATTATCATGCTAAAACAAATACTGTATGGGGGAAGTCACGAACACACATGTATATACACGAAAATAAATGTTATTCTTTTCATTTATATGCATTTATAATAATTACTAATAACTAACTAATTTCTAATAACTAATAATTTCCTTGATTGAAATCTGATACTTTGATAGATATTTTTATTATGTTAGTAGTTTGACAAGAAACCGTGAACCTTTTTAAACTTTATAAAAAAAATGTTAAATGATAATAATGACACCCTGAGTGGTGACGGCAGACTTCCTCCACCTCCACCATGAAGGCAAAATCCAGCGCAAATAAAAAGGTCCCGCAAATCACTTGCCACCACTTGCGTGAGCACATTTTAATAACTGAAGTCAACTTATATGAGCATTTTAATATTTTCATTTTCCAGATCAACTCAAGGGTTTCTTCCGTCTGGATTTCGGTGGTTGGACAGCAGGAGGACAGTTTAGTGGTCTGTTAATGAATGAATCAAACCGAGACAGTAAAAGTACGAGGGACACAAATAGGATTTTAAATAGCGGAAATTACGCCATTGTAAAGTCATATTAAAAAAATGTTTGTCTGAGAAGATGTGGACCTGCTGTTTGCATACCAATATGTGTCTGCCCTCAGTCCCACTGAGACATTAGGTTCCAATCATGCAGCTCAGTGGGTCTGCACAATGGTGCTGCAGCCCCAACCTGGAAATGATGACTGATTAAAGTAACGATTACAATATACACTCCAATACATAGCCCACAGGGTCCACACACACACACAGACACACACACACATATGCAAACACCCAAAGTAGGTGTCCACAGATAGATTCATGACTTCCATAACCACACGACACAGCTTCATTTCCATTCTCCGCCACTTATATTTAGGGGTGTTTTTTTGGGGACTACATCAAATTGAGCTTGGCCTCTGTCACGTTCTTTTACACGGGAAAAAAAGTGCCTGAGTAAGGTTTTCATATTTCAAACTTCATATTTCTTCTCTCCGGCACAGTAACAACCCTCATAAATCCAGCAACCAGGCCCATAAATGTGGGAGAATGTTTGATTATGGCTAAGGACTCGGTGGACTTTTGTGTCTGCAAATAAACAGCACGGGGATTGAATTTTGGAGATTATTTCTTAAACAAAACATGTAGAAAATGATGGTAAATCACAGGAGACAAAGTGTTTTGCTTTTCGCACCAACACTCCCTTTATTTTCTGTGTAGTTCATGATCCATGCAAGCATCCAGTCCAGGGGGACAAATGTGTTTATGCAGAGAGACAGTGTTTCGGCAGAGCACCTGCTGTGAGGTTCAGTGGTGCTGAGGGGCAGCTAACTGCTTCCGATGAAGCCACGAGCAAAATTAAAGCCATAAGTCTTGTTTGGGTGCGACACTCTCATGCTCAGCTTGTGTCAAGGCGTTTACGAGCATGATGTGTGTTGAAGGATAACACATTATCTATGTCTTTTCTTCCATGTATCATCCCTCCCCATCTTTCCTCCTCTTCCTGTCCCTTATATTTTTCTAATCCATCTCTCTCTCTGTACCTATCATCCCCTCTAACTATTTTTTTTAACACCCTATCTTCCTCCTCCTCCCCCTTTGTCATCCCTCCATGTTTGTGTCCTCTGTCATGACCCACATCTTTTACTACTTGAATCTATCCCCCTCGCTTCTACCTTCTTTACCCTCCACCTTTATCACCCCATCTCTTTCTCCTCCCATTTTTTCCTCCCAATCTTCACACTCTTCTTTCTCTGCCTCCTTTAAACCAACAGCCAGCGCTACTGCATGTGTAACCCCGACGTGGTGCAGCAGTTTCACAACCCGGACACCATCTTCATCCTGGCCTTCGCCATCATTCTGCTCAACACCGACATGTACAGTCCCAACATCAAGCCCGACCGCAAGATGTTGTTGGAGGACTTCATACGCAACCTGCGAGGTAAGGGACGCGGCACTGCATTTGCCTGTGTGTGCAGAGGCACATTAATGAAGTTAAAGTGACATAAATTAATTGATTTAATTAGCTCAAGCAGGTAGGTTTGTACTTTAGATGCATGCGTGTCACCTGAGAAAGTGTTTTTTTGAGGTATTTTTTAGAGCCAAGATAATAAAGCATACAGTAAACTGACCCAGCAAATATAAAAAGTACTGTCAACATCAATCTCAGATGTAGAACATATACAAATCCATTGTATTTAACCACTAGTCTCTCACCCTCACCGCTGAGGTGTTTATTACTTATGCCAGTTGATTGTATCAAATTGACTGCTGGTCAAAAGTGGTGTTTCATTAGTTACGACTATTTTCCAATAGTTCCAATAGAATTTTGATAGATGAGACAATACATGGGATTCCTCTCCCTCATGAATATCTCCTGTTGTGGCGGCAGATCCTCACATGAGTCAGTGGAAGTGAGTCAGTTTCCGACAGTGTGTGGATCTGTATTCAAGTCAAACCCTCCCTGCATAAATACAGATGATAAAGATATGGTTACATTTCTATCCCTGCCCGCCGTGCTTTACACATTCACAGCTCATAGCGACACCAACAGAAAGCCGCCGTAATTCTTGTCTCCCACAGTCAAACAGATGCTCGTTCGACAGGAGAACCGTAGTTTTGCTCTCCCTCTGCGGAATCAGTCGGGGAGCACTGAGGTCGATGCAGAACAACTTTAATAGATTCATCCAGACTGTTCCCCACAATTAAATTAAGTGGGAAAATCAATTTCGGCATCTTACGCAAATTAAAATATGCCACTCTCTCTTGGCCTTTGTATTTGTCTTCTGCTCAGTTTACTGTCTCTGTATCCATTCTCTTATGTTTTGTCTCAGTCAGAACATTATGCTGTTTATTCATCTGCCTGTCCTTGTTTATATTCTCCCCGTTTCTCTCTCCTCTTTTCTCCTCACTCATGTCTCTCTCACCCAGTGACAGAAGAATAGTTCACTCCACTAATTGGCTGAGGTGAAATGCAATTATGCACCAGAAACCAATAGTAATGAAGAACCATAGAGCATTCATTATCGCAATTAAAACAGACTGGCAGACTCTGAGCTATTTCACAATGGGCAAACATAATATAAACCAGCTTCCGCCATAAATTAATCAAGGATGCCGGCTCACTGAAAAATGAAAATTGTACTGTCTTAGTCACTGGATCCTTTATTTGTTTTTAGAGAGGATGATGTCAAAGTTGCACAGTGACTTCCCTTTCCCTTTTTTAAGTTCTCTTTGCGGGCAGGCATTCATCAATAGAACTTGTGACAAGCCAACTTTACACTCAGAGATGATGAAAATAAGAGGAGACAGAAAGTATCTCAAGCTACAGGGGAAACGTGGGGAAAACAAGACTGTGGACAAGAGTCTACATCCATGCCAGCGGCTCTGTGAGGCTGCTTTTAGGCACAGCGACGCTTTGAGCTAAATGCTGAATGTCAGCATGCTAACAGTGACAATGCAAGCATGTTGATGTTATGCAGGTGTACTGTCACCATCTTAGTTTGCTAATTTGCACTAAAAACAAAGTACAGCTGAGGCTAATGGTGATGTCATTGGATAAAATGTAATTTCAACCTAATGATGCTGCTACATAAAAAGTTGAGGCATCGCCAGATAATACAATTACATAAAAATAATAATAATACAACAAAAAAATTACATTCATCCATTTCATATAATGAATTCCTAGCATGGATAAAAAATGATAACTCATGGTTACATTAGATTACATAATACTCCCATGACACATCTATATCATTCTGCTATGTCATGCTCGTATGTCATGTGGGAAGAACATTTATGTAAGGACATTTTCACAGTCTTATGCAATTTACTTTCACACCCCGTAACTACTTAATGTGCAACAATGTCTCAGCAGTGTCCCAGGGTGCCTCACTGTCACCGCCATCACTTGTGGCGGCTTCATTTTCTCCAAACACACCCTGCCCCATTGAAAGCTCAATGTACCACGCCGCGCGGTACAGCTGCACAGATATAATGGGGAGCATCTCGAGGGCAACCTTTCAGCCTAATGACATGCAGCTCTACCTGCGTCGAAATGCCACGGCCTTGAACAAGCACTGTGTTCCAGACAGAAAATCTTCTAAGAGCGAGGCGGGGCATTAACCTTTCACTCGCCAATTAACCTCCTTTCACATTGTTCTCTGTCATTACTTAATGGCGACAGTGAAAGACAGAAAGTCAAAGAGGCACGGACAAGGAGACTGAGAGAACGAGCTCTCTTCTGCTCTGACTGCTGAGTTTTTTCCGCTCCCTGCATGTCAAATAATGCAAAAACAAATGTGTGCAGCACAAGCCTGTGCACAGTGTGATGTATTTGAATTTTTTTGTGCTTGCATATTTGTGTGTGTCTCCTCCTGTGGCAGTGACACATCTCCTGCTGTATTAAAGCCAGAGTAGACGCACTTTGGCTGCTCTGCCACTGTTAAAACAGCAGTCACTCCATATTCTGCCAGACGGACAGAACTGTCTGGTAAAATTAAAAGCAACCACCCTGTTATGTGTGTGTGTGCGTGTGTGTGTGTGTGTGTGTATTTGTGTGTAATCAGCCTATTCTCGTCTTAGGCGTGGATGATGGAGCAGATATCCCACGAGACATGGTGGTGGGAATCTATGAAAGAATACAACAGAGGGAGTTGCGGTCCAATGAAGACCACGTCACCTACGTCTCCAAGGTTGAACAGTCCATTGTAGGCATGAAAACGGTAAGCACAGGACCTTCACTGAGATGTTACATTCTTAAGCCCTTAACCACAACTACACTGCAAACCACAACCCTTGCTTAACTTTAACCTAAATCATATAAACCTGCTTAAATCGATGTTTTGGCCACTTAGGGCACCACAACAAGTTTTAAACACGACACCTATCGCCTTTTATACACCCAGCAGATCATTTGGAGTTGTCTTTTCCAGCTGCCGGGCCAAGATTCATTCTTTTTCACCAACTCTCTACCAACTGTACCAATATGTTTGTTGAGTAGCTAAATGCTCCACAATATTTACCAGCTAGTTGCTAAGTCTGTCCGTCTGCCATTTGGTGCAGGGCGGGTAGAGTAGAGTGGGTTTATATTAAATTTTTCTCTGAAAGCAGCTGCATGCTGCGTCTCGAAACTACGCTGAGATCAGTGAGAGTGAACCAAAACAGTAAAGCTGCGGGGCATAAAACCAAAACAATGAGCTAAAAGACGCTAAAAGTGTAGAGCTGTGGGGAACTGGAGCATTGGGTAATATTTGCATGGGTTTGCTTATTATGAGCAGTCCTTTTCACATTACACACAGAAATTTAATCCACTGTTAGAGCAGATTTAACCCTACTGTGAAACCAGATCTAAACCCGAGTCAGCCCTTTGAGGAAGAGAGGACACACACACCTTGAAGCTCAATCCCAGATGGAGCTAAGTTGATGGTACAATAACTTTTTTCCTTATGAGACACTGTAAAACTTTCAACAGCTGTTAGATATAAATCAGTACACAAGTCTTCTAGTACACAGTTTTAAACAGCAGTTGTAATACGTCCAGTGGCCAATTGTCCTTCAACCCTACACTATATTTTTTACAACACATCTCAGGAGATGAGTGAGTTTCCAGAAACCCTGCATGCTGTATTTAATGGGTTTTGTGGAGTAGACAGGAAGAATTTGTCACACAAAAACAGGAATATGAGTAAGTGCACACACACACACACACACACACACACACACACACACACACACACACACACACACACACAGCTGATTTTTGCTAAAGCCGTGCCAAGTCACTCACTCATTATTCAAGGCCTCATCACTATCACCTAGCCTTCGTAGCATTAGCAGAACACATTTATTAGCCATTAAATGTCTCATCAGCGGCTCGATCATTACCTCAGGTCATTACTCCAGCTCGATACGTCATTAACCGCTGCCATCATTAGACTCGTTTTTTTTTTTTTTTTTTTTTTAACTGTTTAAGCTGAAGAGACTTGGTCAGTGCACATGAGTGGTGTAAAGTCTAATACTGGGATGTTTTTTAGTTGAGAGTGAACATGAAAAATGCTTGCTCATACATCCACTTGTTGCTACAGTGTTCATTTGTTGTGTTAATATCTCTGTGCAAAGTTGTCTGTGCTTCAGACTTAACTCTGAGACAGACACACAGGCAGAAGTATTTAGAATTATAATTGACTGATTACACTGATTCATGTGGGAATGTGCTGTCTGTGCCCACTCATAGCACTGAAAGGCTTTTTAAAATACTTAAACAGTTCAGGGAATTCTACTTGAATCTTATCAGCACACCAAGGCCCTCCAATCCTTTATTTATGAAATATAGATAAAAGTTGCAGAGTTTTTCTTCCCATAGACTCTTCGATATTCAACACTGTAACATATTACATCCACATAGATTTCTTGAAACTGAATTATAGAGTTAACATTAATAGTCGTTTGAGATGTTTAGTCATGCTTGCTCTATATGGACGGTGATGTTGGTCAGTCAATTGATCAGTCCTCTACTTTAGCCCTTAAGATTTCAGCAGTTGAATTGAATGGATGGCCATACAATTTTGTATAGATATTCATGTTCCCCAGAGGATATGGAGGAGTTCTAAATAATTAACTTCATGTTTAGTGTTTTCCCAAAATACACAGTTTATTATCTCTCTTCATCGTACCCGAGTTCCACAGGTTGTACAAAGATTTTGAAATTAGAGCTTGATTTAGATGCATAACGATGAGATAATAGCAGCTTGAAAATTACTAATAGCTGGCTGATGTAACGACTTTTTTAGCTACTTTCCATTTGAAAAAAGTTGGCGAAGTGTAATTAAATACCTGCAAAACTAATGACATTCCCATCAGCCACAGCTGCACTTTGTAAGAGTGGTAATAAAAAAACGTCGGCATGCTAGATGTGACACATTGCGTAACTGACCAACTCTTAGCCTTGTTCAACTTGTCACATGCTGCTCCTTGTCCATCCACAATATGAAAGTACTTTTGAATTTCAGTATAAAACTACTTTTTAAATACTCCATAAATGTAATCTCAGTTAACTTCCAGAATGACATTGAAACTCTGACATTGAAAGGGTTGCCAATGTCTCTTTTTTTTTTTGCCCTGTGCCTTTAAGTGTCTCTCAGTGATGGATGAATCGCCATAGGACGGCAGAGGGAGCGTTGTCATAACCAAAACAATGATGGATTGTTGTGACAGGAAGTGACTATTGCTGCCCATGGGAGCTGTCTGCCATAAAAAGAAAGACTTAGTATTTCTAAGGAAGAACTTTATCCATCATAGCAGGAGCAGGTGTCACAGTCCCTGTATTGTGGATTATAAACTTCTTATCTATTATGCTTAGAGGACGTCATCCACATAAGAATGATTTTTCTATAATGGGTTTCTTAATAACAGAGGTTTGGTTGGTGTAAATATTTGATGACTTGATGAAAGCCAAATAACAATTCTTCTTGAATGTGATGAAGTAGCTTTATATCCAAATGTTTCCCCCTGTTCAAAGTCCCTTAAATATTTGATATGGATTGCATTTGTATAATCAGTTTTTCTTTAGTCCAGCAATTAATTTGTTAATGAATACGTTGGCAAACTCTCTCCTGTCAAACTGTTTCTTAACAATCCTGTCAGAACAGGACTGGTTTTTTTGGGGGGGGGTTTTTTGGAATGAGCAGAAGGCATTTCAGGCTAATGATGTCTTTACATGTTTCTGACATTAGTGTAATGAGAAAGCAGGCTGGCTGTGGCAGGCTGGGCGGGAGTCTGTGTACCCTGCAGTGATAAGCGACGAGAGAGCGAGAGAGAAAGAGACAGAGTCTATGCGTGTACTCACTGCATTGCAAATCGACCACAGGGAGCAGAGGGAATAAAAATCATATAGTGAAAACTGAACAGAGGCCGTGTATATTTGTTTTGTATCACAAAAAGCAGGGTTCAAATCCTCATCTACCGACTGCCATTCAGCTCCTGCTTGGATTTCTGCAGTGATCGAACACGGAAAAGCTGGACAAGACAAGGCAGAGAGTGCGAAGAGGGCGAAACCCTGATTAGATCACTTTCTGAAGGCATGAGGCAGTTTCTGCAGTGTAATCTGCTTAAACTTGGAAAAGCACTTAAGTCCAAAAAGGAGACGCCAGGCCTTCAGGGACACAACTGCAGCATTTTGTAAACTTCCAAGAGGAACCCACAGAAACAAAATTCATCATTAGGACACTCTAAAATAAGGTATACAATCATTGAACACCAATACTGATGGGATACTGAAGAGGAACGGCTTGTCGCAGACTATGGCAGCATGCTGGAAGATGAAACAACAGCCAAAGGAAATGGAAATACATAGCTTCTCCTCCATTTCCCATGTACTATCAATACAAAAGAGCGTATTCATCGTTATGCTTGATCTACTGCATCTTTATTATAGTTGAGGACATGTCTATAATCACTGGGAGACTCCAGACATGGTGTAAGACATATACATATAATTGTGTCCAATATCGTTTTTCCACAAGAAAGTTTAAATACCTTGTTAAAGTTGTTGACAGTGAGGTGAAAAAGTACATTTTATGTGCTCTGAAACCAGAATCAATTTATGCCCATCACTGTTATCTGTTGCTCTGATGAACATTTGAAGATCTGCTTAAGACTACTGAGTCTAATGAGCACCTGTCAGCCTTTAGCCCCAGTGAACAATGTGTACTTTAAAACTCAAGCCAGAAGTCATTTGCATTCAAAGTCTCTCTGTTTTCTTACCGTACTTTTCCTCCCACTTTCTCTGGGGGGGAAAGTCGCTTTGTGTCTTCATCTGGTCTTGAATGATTTTTAAGCCTCTCAGTCATTTAATCTGAGTGACTCAAGGTCTCCTTTTACCTGGATGTGTGCTTCTGTCTCTGCAGGTTCTCTCTGTCCCTCACAGAAGACTGGTGTGCTGCAGTCGACTGTTTGAGGTGACAGACGTCAACAAGGCCCAAAAACAGGCAGCACACCAGAGAGAAGTCTTCCTCTTCAATGATCTCATTGTGGTGAGTTAACAAAAACGCCTTCACACCTTCATTAAGTTGAGAAATCGTCATGAGAGATTCAGTGTGATAATTCATATTTGTCTCTGTTGTTTTCCACGTGTTTACAGTTTCTTTTTAAACCAACACTCAAATGTTATTTCTGCTGCACACGTTCCAGTTTTAAAGCTGCTTATTTTGTTGTGACAGCTGCAATGCGCCATCACCTACTTCGACTGTGAGCCATTTCTCAAGGCTCCCTCTCTTCTTTTATGTTGTTTCATAACTCGGGCCCATCCGGCCATTTCTTTTAATAATAGATAGTAGCAAACACAGCGTTGCAGTGCACTCATAAGCAAAGATCTGTCCCCTACAGAGCAGCTTGAAAGGACAGTGATAAAGTGTGTTTTCACTTGGGCCACAGTACAGATAAGTTGTTCAATTGGCCCAAAGTCGTGTAGTTTGGGGAATTATCAAAGGTTTAATGTTGGGTAAATGAATGGGCTCATTAAGAGCCACATAGGGGTCATCTATCCAAAACGTTTAACTACTCTCATAATTATGTCAAATGATGATCTCATGCCAACAAAACACAGCAAAGGGAAAAGCAACATGGCCACCACCCTCCTTCCCTTTCCTGCGGAAGCGTAAAAGTAATTGGTAGCTGCAGGAAAAGGAGGTTAAAAGGCTGATTTTGAAGTAGGAGGCAATAGAAGTTATCTTCCAACATCACAGTGGAATTCTGTTCATTTGGCACTTAAAGTCAGCGGTGCGATACACTCCGGCGAGACGTTTTCTCCTGACAGCTTTGAAAGTGGGGCAGAAATTGTCTTTGAAAAATTTTACTATGGAATTAAAGTGACGGGGACTTTTCTTTGAATTTGGCCCCTGTTCTTGCAGCTCGAACATGTTGAGAAGTGTTTAAAGTGCCGATGTGATGTACTGGTTTAATATGCCTTGCCTGGTAAATTATGCCCCACAGTGGGGCCGCAAAACAGACCTGCCTCATCTTTCTCTGTCTGGAAGGTCATTCAGTGAAAAAGCTCCAGAACATCTTTAATCCATCCCGGTATAACGCCTTGACAAGGTGTTTTTCCTACAAATTAGAGCACTATGCACAACCCAAAACACTTTGAAGATTGTAGTGTACATCAATGTTGACTCCATTGGCTTTTTGAATGTGTTTTAAATTATCAAAGAGTCGCTCTTTCCGAGCTTCCTTTGAGGTTCTTCTGTGATATGTAAATCTCAGTGACAATCAAAAAGATCTCTGAGAAGTATCGAGAAAATAAACCAAAAATAATTTAATGGGCACTGCTGTCGTTCAAAGTTGTTATTTTCACTATAGGTTTCTAATTGCTTTCTCATTGTTTGCAGATCTTGAAGCTTTGTCCAAAGAAGAAGAGTTCTGCAGCCTACACTTTCTGCAAAGCTATGGGCCTACTTGGCATGCAGTTCCACCTGTTTGAAAATGAATGTAAGTCGCGATGTCTTAACTGCAGACGGCTGGCATGAAAAAGATAATACACCCCGAGTTAACAACCCGTTCTGAGGACTGAATAAAGGATCAAACTGCACAACTTTTAAGTATATTTCAAATAACTTTTGTCTCAATAACTCAATGTCCTCTGCGCTCCCCCCAGACTACCCTCACGGCATCACCATCCTCTCACCTTTCGGCTCAGACAAGAAGCAGGTACTTAACTTCTGCGCCCAAAGTGCTGAGGAGCTGCTCAAGTTTGTAGAAGACCTAAAGGAATCAATCGCAGAGGTGTCGGAGATGGAGCAGATACGCATTGAATGTAAGTATCAGCCATGAACCACGTTGTTTTTATCCCCGGGGTAAGACAATGAAAAACTCTTAACATCACTGTTTGTATTTGCCCATGTCCTCTAGGACCTTCCATACACTGTAGTGTTATTAAACAAAGCAGAGATTTTCACAATGAACAAACTGATTCTGTGCCTCTAAGTGGGTGAAGGCAATCAAATGCTACAATTATGGGGTCTCAGTTATGAGTATATCTGACCCCAAATACAAGACAAAAGAATTAGCTAATAATTCTTGTTATTTTTGTCACTCCTAGGGTTTGATTGGTTTATTAACTTGATGATGTCAAGCTCTTCAGTTTCTATTTGACGCAAGTCTTGTGGCTGAATGCATGTATACTTTGCATGTACACAGGTTTGCATGTACTCCACTTGTGGCAGTGCATCATGAAACAGAAGAAGAGTCGACATCCTACAGCATTTTGGACCAAATCAATAATCTCATATCTTGGAAAGTGGGGGACTACATTGAACTCTGTGTGGGAATCAATAGGTCCCTCAGATGGTAGAGGAGTCAGGAGTCGTCCTTTGTTTTGTATCATTTGCTAACTCATAGTCAGCATCCCCTTCGTGTCGGTGCAGACTGGCTTTTGCATTTTGCTTTGGTGCACTGCAGCTCGAACAGACTGCAGGAGGGCAGTGAATTAGAGGTGAAAAGAGGCCAGTTTTCCTCAAAGCAGCCAGGCATCTGAGTTGTTTTTGGTTTCGTGTGCATATGAAATTCTCCAGACAATAAGACGTGCGCATACTTAGACACACATGGAAAACCTGAGTATCCAGAGCCCTGGCTCCTGCCAGTGGGCATCAAAGAGAGCATCCCTGCTGGGATTTGACGCAACTGCTCTACCCTTCACAGAGAGAGAGCGAGCCAGCAGCTCGGGGAGGGCAGCCAACAACATATGGAGACAGGCAGGAGTTGACAGAAGGAAGTTATTTCTCTCTCTCTAGAGTGGAGCGACGACAGACAGCGACTGTGCACAAAACACACACAAACCGACACACATATACAAATAAGAATGCATGTTGGGACATATTAGTTAAAAGACAGACAAACACAAATACAGCTCACAAATGTTCTCAAGACATAATATAGGAACAAAATTTGGAAGAAGAAAGAGGCACGTGCACAGACAAACAGCGCATCTTCCTTTCTCATCTAAGGGCTCTTTTATTCTTATTGTTGTAAACATGCCTGCGGCACTCTCACTTATGTATGGGCTTCCCCTCTTTAGAGGTTGGAAGGAGAAATTACAGTTTCTGTTTATCTGGAGGAGCTTGTTTTCTTTTGCATCTGGCTATTCATATCGAGGAAACGCCATAATGGAACTGATCATTTTAATTCAGCCCAAACTCACTCTTCATCACCAGAAAAACATCTCTCTATTCTGCTCCCTGTAGTATGTGTTTGTAATATAGCTTTAGACATTAACCGTGAGTTCTACAGAGCCAGGGCCAAGTAACTTTCATCAATTCCCATTTAAACAAAATTATTGGAAACTTTATTCTTCATATCACCGTTCTGCAGCTGACTTGTGCACTGACTAAAAATCTCTGTACTCAAGGTTATACTAGCAATTGATTGGAAATCAATACCAGTTGCACACTTCTTTTCTTTTTAATCACCAAAACACATAATTATTGCCAGTAAATTTCCAAATAAATTGGCAAATTATTAGGAAGACAAACCTGTGTCTCACATGCACCAAAATCAATCAGAGGACATCGTGTACTGAAGCCTTAAGGTCTCACCTGGCAGTTTTGAGGTTCAGTATCAAAATTAGAGCGCAGCCTATTCCAATTTTTTCATTTCTAATCACGATGACTAAAACAACATTTAGTCATCAGGACTGGAAATGACATGCAATTACCATCAAGTGTGGAGTTTAATTAGGGAGATGGAAAGTCATGTTTTCAGCTTAGAGAAGAGAGTGGGAGGGGAAGATGCTAAGAGTGTGTGTATGTGTGTGTGTGTGTGTGTGTGTGTGTGTGTGTGTGTGTGTGTGTGCACGCTTTTGAAAGAAATAATTATGCTGGTTAATTTTGTCACTCTTACCTTCACCATCTATCTTATCTATCTACCTCTTTTGCCCTCTGTCACGGTGATTATGATGCATCATCTCTGTCTTCTCTTCTCTGCAGGGGAGCTGGAAAAGCAGCAGGGAGCCAAGACACACTCAGTAAAGAACAATGGCACACAGCTAGAGCTGCGTGGCAAACAGGGCTCCCCATCAGGTGTGTGTGTGTGTGAGTGTGTGTGTGTGTGTGAGAGATCTTGTCCCCAGTAGCATTAATGTGCCCGCTGTTGAAAACAAAGTATGCCCCGCTGCTGTTTTTATGAATCGATCAATAGGAAAAAGGAAACATTTTTAAAAAGGGAGCTACCTCGCATTTTAACATGAAAAAAAAATGCTAGATCACTGAAGCTCTGGAGCCAGTTGCAGTAAATATGACACTTAAGGTTTGACTTCTCCTTAGCTGTGGGAGTTACTTAAGGGTGTTGCACAAAATCTTTTAAAGTTAAGGAAAAAAGTTAAGGCATTTGCAACAGCATTTGCAAAGAGACTGTACAGTGGCAAAATTCTACTGTTTCCATGGAAAATGTTGATTTGCTGATACCCGTGATCACTTTTGGGAAAGCAGGTAACATCAAAGAAGCACTAAGTGATTTCTGAAGTTCAAGACTAAGATAAGGAGAAAACCTTAAATATTTAAGTGAACATCTTAAGGAAACGTTAAAGGGAAGACTTAAGGGTGTTCTGTGTAACTCTTTTTATTTGAAGGAAACTCTGACTCACACTTTAAGGAAAATCTTAACATAAGGTGTTTTGTGCAACCAGCCCCTGTGGTATAGTTGTGAATATTGTAAATTCACTGTTTGCGAAAAACAGCTTCATTTTAATCAAGTGTCACTACCTAGATAGCCAAAGCTGATTCCATGAGTTGGCTGGAAACCATCTTGGGCTGACTTGTTTTGAAATAGAGGCATAAAGCATAAAAAAGTAGGTCTTAAATATGCATGGGATAGCCACGTACATGATATTGTGCTAAATGACTGAGGCTGGAGGCTGAAAGTCAGTATCCCCCATTTGATAAACTGTATTTTTTATTCATAAAAACATTTTATGATGCACTAACAGGAAATTACTGTTTAACACAGATATTTTGCTGCCACTTTTGTCCCCTTTTCTTTCGTTTTTCCTGCCTTCAGGAAACCAGGAGGTAGATGAGAGAAGTGGACACAATGCAGTAGAGGTAAGTGCTTAGTGCTAGGGCCATGTCCCAAACAAAAGGTAAGTCAGAGCAGCGAGAGTCAGTACAGTGTGTTGTTATCAAGGCAGGATGAGATAGGAATCCCCAGGACTAGTGTCATACTGTATATTTAGCACTAGAGGCGTCAAGCAGGAGTGGGTGAAGAGTGCGTGAGAGAACGAGTGCTGCTGGGTAAAATGCTGTGGGCATGTGACGTAAGCCGGCCAAACTAAATATTAGATGAAATGACTCCTTTGTCGGATAAAAAAATGAAAGATGGTGGTTTGGGGAAATTAATAAAATCATAATCAGAACAGGTTCTCCACACTGAAAATGCATCAGACTCAGAAGCTTATTTATTTTCTACGAGCCTAAAAAGGAACAGGTTGTAATTAGTTTCACAGGCTCAGGCAAAAATTGTGACTCCTTTAGGGCCTCCCGAGAAAAAAAGAGAACGCAGCCATTGCTAAAAGTAGATGAAGACATGTGTGGAATACATATACTGTGTGTGTGTGTGTGTGTGTGTGTGTGTGTGTGTGTGTGTGTGTGTGTGTGTGTGTGCCGACATCCAGCACTGAGACCTTAATTAACACAGTAACATGCAGGCGGATAAATTTAACGCTCATTTGACCCGGAGTTGTCACCTCCCCACCCCTTGCCAGACCTCCTGGGGGAGAGGGGGCAGACTTCTCGTGCGAACATTTCGTGCAAGCAAGAGAGCAAGCTGAACTACAGTACCCATGGGGCTTTGCAGTTACAATTCTGGAGGCAACAGACGACCTTTCCTAGTCCTTTCTGTGGCAGCAGAGTTGGGGGCTGAAGTGAAAAGCCAAATACACAGGGTCAATTTGACATAATAAGTGGCTTTTTAATTCCACATAGCTCACTGGTAAGATGTAAGGCTGTAAATCTTTACTCAGGAGCTGGTTAGAGCAGAAGTAATTACATGTACTTCACTTCAACTCAAAGGTTTCATGGCCATTTCATCTTCATAGCCATAAATGCCTGGAGAATGACAATAATTACAGCAGCGCAAACATGCCAAGAGACATTTAAAGACATAAAAATAAAAAGAATCTTTATTGTGCAATGGAATATCTATTTTATGCATACAAGCTCTCCCTCTTTTATCGCTTTGGGTGCTGATAATAGGGAGCTGTGATCAACTTTAATGTGAAAGAGCTTGATAGCCTCTTACACTGTACAATAAGATTGGAGGTTTATAGATCTTAGGGTGTACTGCTTAATACGAAAAGCCACTAACCACAAAATAAAAATGTTATATCTTAGTCTGCATTATAGGTTTAATCAATTCCTAATCAAAAGAGGATTTTTATCTCTCACTTATGTGGGGCTGACTTGAGGGCTTTCCCTCATCACTATTTATTTCACCCATGTTTGCACTTCAGGTCAGTCTTCATGGTTGTCTGAGTTACCTTCACCAGTCATCTTCTCCTCTGCCATGCAGCCCAGAGTAAATGTCAGTGGCTGGTGGGGAGCCATTAGCTGTCGAAACCCATTTATCTTGGAAACCAGGAGGGTCACGCAGAGAAATCCTGCTCACACTAGAGACTTGATTACAGGGATGTCTGAAGATTCGATAAGTTAAGGTGTTGTTATGTTAGATTCTGGCTCAGAGCAGTAACAATGATACGCTGATAGTTTGTGCTGAAGTTTCAGAATGGCTGGTTAGTTGTAATGATTCCTAAGAAAATTAAAAGACAGCCAAAGGTGTCATTTACATGACCTCCTTCATTTTTTTGGCCCCACCAGTTTTTGTAAGTCATCATGATTTTGTTAGGGTTCTAACCCTGAAGTGTTGAGACACACCGCTATCAATCAGAAAACATTGCCAAGGGCGGGGCTTAACTTAATGAGGGCTCATCTCATGAAATGATTTGTCCAATCACCATAAATCTTGGGAGATATTTTCAGGCCATGATTGGGAACAGGCCTACCAAAGAATATTGAGCCCGACTCAAAGGGCGGGGCTTAGCAGGAAATTGGCCATAACTCAAGTTGTTTTAGAACTGGTTAAACTCAGTGGGGACATCCAGTACTGTGTCCTGAACACACACACCAAAGATATACACTTTGGTGTGTGTGTATGGGTAAGCATCATAATGGCATCTTCCATTACATTACTCCTTTTCTCTTTTCCTCATGAACTCCAGTCAAAGTATTTATTTTTGTTAATCCTTTTTGGAGGGAAAAATTAATAAACAGCAATGAAGTAGATTTTTTTTCGTTGTTTTGATTGAGCTGCTTTCCTTCCATTTCGTTGAACAACAAGGTTTGAACCTGCAAATTGCTCCTTGCAGCTATATTTTAAATTGTGATTCATTTAGCATTTTATTTGTGATTCATCTCCGAGTCGCCTTTGATTATTACTGTGAGCTCAGAGCAATTACGATTTATGGGCAGCAATGATTTGGAGGCTTTGTTTGCCTTGGGTTTTGTCTCCCAGGCTACATAGGTTCTACACCCTACTCTGTAATTGGTGGAACCTGAGAGGAGGACTGAAGGTACTGGTCCACGCTAAAAAAAAAAAAATACTGCATTTTACTGCAAAAAAAAAATTCTTCTGCATGTTTATTGGATGGAAATTAAACCATTTCACTCGAATTCTTATTTACAGTCAATATTCTCCTAAATGAATGTTAAAATTAAACATGACAGATAGGATCATGCTCAGTGAAGATGCAAATGCAGTTTTTATCTATAATGAAGTCTCTATCAACAAAAACTAAGTGATTTTTTTCGGTGGAGTTGGAGTGTATATTTTAAGCTTAAGAACCTCTGAATTCATTGTGTCCACCACCTCACTTCTGAAAACCATCTACACACCCATTTAGACTGTTAGTCAAAAATACCATGGTGACATGGTGGAGCGCATGATTTTTTGTTGGTTTATGGAGTGAAAAAAAGCCAAAACCAAACATGAAACAAGCCGTCTTCACAGAAAAGGTAAGGTAGGCAAGCTGAGGCTGCTGTACACTGCAGTGCACCTGACAGATTCTTTCCAGGTGCGACCAATCCTGCTAACGGTCCACCCACTCTGTCCACGAGCGTCACAAGGCAGGAGAGGTGGGTGGCCTCGTCAGAGTAAAGTAATATCAGCTGGTTTCCCAGCTCCACTTCCCAGTCCAAATCTCATGTAGTGGATGTGATTCGTAACCAAAATAATATAAGATAAGAAAATGAGGAAGGCTGAAACTAATAATTATTTTTGTTAGTGATTATTCTGCCGATTATTTTCTCAAATAATTGATCAGTCGTTTTCTATAAGATGTCAGAAAAATTGTGAAAATGTGTCCATCACAATTTCCCAGAGCCCAATATGACTGATCATTTTTGCTTGTTTTTACCTCTCATTAGTCCAAAACCTCCATTTCATATAAAACACAGAACAGCATCAAATCATCACATTTGAGAAACGGCAGTGAGTAATTTTTTGCTAAAAAAGATGAAACACTCAATTATCAAAATTGCTGCTGGTTAATTTTCTGTTGTCACACACACACATAAGACATTTGAAGATGCTGCCTTTGGGCTCTGATGAAATATAATGGGAATTTTTTACCTTTGTCTGATATTTTATTTACAAAACAATTTATTGAGAATAATCTAGAAAATGAACGGTAGATTAATCAACAAGGAAACTGTTGGTTAGCTGCAGCCCTATTATGAAGCCTGACTTAATTAATATCTTCCAGGTTTGACTGTTAGCCAAGATCTGTTTTTGTGGTTAAACTGCTTGACTTAGAGCTCCGTTACTAATGGTATGCCATTTGATTAGCATGCCATTCATTGACAGTCAGCTTAAAGGTATTTTAAAAAATACCAGTTGCTCAGAAAGGATGAAATAGCGTATGGGTTTTTGATGAATTTTAGGAACCAAATAACCAAGTCTGGCTAACTAGACACTGTTTACTGTGAAGGACACTTCATAACCAGCAGTGAATTTCTTTTGATCATCTGTGGAACAAAGTTAGTCTCTATACTCAGAAAATCAAACTTTTGAAAGGCACCAGAATGTCTCAAATATTCCTCAGTCTCTATCTAAAGTGCTTCAGAACTCAGAGATACTGTTCTAAGTATTTGTGCTAAGTTGTCAAGGAGAAATAGTGGTTGGCAGATTGAATAAGAGCAAATGTTAATGGAGTCCTTTCACACAAGCATTACATCGGCTGCTGTAAGAGAATGGGACTGCTGTAAGCCCTTTCGTACTTCAGATACTTCACATTAAAAGTCTATTATAATGCAGGAGAATTAGCGTTGACCCTATTCATACAGTCACCAGTTTGAAGAGCTATGGTGGGAAAATATCTTTTTACGTACACTTGCTGTATAGCAGATCACAATTTAAAACCAAGATCTTTAGTCAGAAATTTGCAGCAGTCTGAGGAACAACCTCGACTGCTTTAAAGTATGGCGTTAGCACACAGTAACAATAACCTACCTAGCTTGTACTGAAGCTAGCTTGTATAGCTATAGCTAGCTTCACCCAACAGAACACTAACTAACAAGAAGATTAATATCATTAATAATCTTAATTTGTTAGAATTTGTTTTGACAACCCAATTGTTAAACATGGCTGCTGTGTGAATGTTAATGTAATATGTAGCTTGAATTCACAAAGTTCTGGGAAATAAGCACAGTGTGTTAAAATGAAGACAAGAGCATCATGTATGAAAAGTAAAAAAAAATGTTTTAATGTTTTCCACCAGGAAAAAATGTATGTGCAGCAAAATGGAAACAGCTCCTGGGGTCAAAATGGTGGATAAATATTTGCCTTTGCCTGATCATAAGCCCCCTAATGCTGAGAATTTTCCACATAAAGTTTGAATTTGAGTATATTTTTAGTTGTATAATTTAACCTAAATTTAACCTTGTTTAAAGTGACAAACCCTAATGCTAACCATAGCTAGCCGTTAACATTTGATAAAAGTAAAAATAGCATGCCCACATGTGCTGTGGTTGCACGTTTCTTACAATTTTTACATTACTTTTGTCTCCCACACACACATGCATTTCACATTGTGCTCATTCCATGAATTTTGATGATACTCCCTGTATTTTTGTTTTGACATATGCTTTCTGAGAAATACAGTGTAAGGTAAGGTAGAAGAGGCTTCAAAAAAAGATTTAAAGGAAAGATACAATAAAGGAGCACAGACAGCAGGAAAAAAAAAACGTTGAAGGAAGGGAACAGAAAATAGAGAGATGAAACAAATGTGACATCTGGAGGTTTGCATTCTGATGAGTGTTGCCTGTGGACGTCTGTGGTTGTCAGTCTGCTCACCTCCACTCCTCCTCTTCTTCCACTTCTCCCTCTTCTTCGTATGACCTTCGTCTATGTTCTGGTTATCCCGACTCCCAAGCCTCCTCGTGTCTGCTGTCACCATAGCGCCACACAGTGGTTTGGAAGGGAGACACAGGGGCCCTCAGTGTCCCCTTTGGAACCACCGGGCCCCTTCTGTAGCGTCGCACCAATTCTCTTATCCCCATTCCCCACCACTGTCCTCCTGACCCCGGTCTAACACTGGTGTTCCCAGCATCCAATCTACACTGTTCCCACTCCCTGTGGGGGTGGAGGGAGGGGAGTGTACAGTAGTCACAATGAATTTACACCTCCACCGACCCCCAACACCTAAGCCCCCACGCATGCCCTGTGTGTGTGTGCTGTGCATTCACCACCCCCCCAAAAAAAAGAAAAAGAGGGCTTGACGGCTTGTAGAGGAGGAACCAGTTTTATAACATTTGATGCTGTTCTCTTGGCTGTTTTCTAAACTAGGTGTCAATTCACAACAGGCTTCAGACGTACCAGCTCAGCAGCACGGCTCGGAGTCCCGAGAGCGTGGCCCTTCTTAACCACCGGGGGGAGCTGCTTTTCCAGCAGGGGCCCCAGGGGCTAATCCAGGGGCCGGCGCCTCCACCTCAGCACCCGCAGCTGCAGTCAGCGGCGAGCACCCCCGCCCACCACCTCCACCTCCAGCAGCACCACCAGCCCGCTGTCAGCATGGCTGATCTGCGGCCTGAGACACTCATCCAGTGTCAACAGATCGTCAAGGTCATCATGCTCGACAACAGCGGCCACGGACGCATGGAGGCATTCCTCAGCCAAACGCCCACACACCACCACTACCAGCATCACCACCACAGCCACCACCAGCTCAGTCAGTCGGCCATGTCCACCCCAGTCCGCTCCCCGGACGGCTCCCACGGCAGCGACGGTCACCAGCCACCGCTGCCTCCCCCACCCCCACCTTATAACCACCCACACCAGTATATACCCCCAGACCCCCGCCTCAGTCTACACCGGACCCCAAGTGGCTCTCGGAGCATGGTGTAAATAGATCAATTAGTATTATTTCCCTAAAACACTCACACACCCACATCGAACCCCACCCCTTCTCTACCTATTTAACAGTACATAATGTACATATATACATACTGAAGAAAGAGCTATAATGAAAAAATGAAATCACACTTATATGCATATATTTAAAGAAAAAATAACTAAATGAAAAATCAAGGTTTTAAAAGAGATAAGGAGAAATAAAGTGCATATATAAAGTTTTACTTGATTCCACATGTATTTTGAAATATTATGTAGTTTTAACAAATTTCTATAACTTTTTGTCAGTTTTAACTCTTGCTAGAGAAAAACTCACAGATGTTCAGTTTCTGGATGGATTCCTTGTAGTTCCAGTATTCTCCACCAACAACAACAACAACAACAACAACAACAACAACAACAACAAGAGAAATAACGTGAATCCTTGAAACCTGTTTTTTTTTTTTTTTAATTGCTCCAGTAATGGATGGACACGCTCCAAGGACCTTCCGCTTCTGTTCGCTTTTATCATCCCAAAGCTCATGCCTACTGTGCTGTATGTGCGCGTGCGTGCATAGCTGACACTTACTGAAAAACATGTGCCAAAATACATACGCCTCCACTAAACACTGACTTCTTTGCACTTGACTAAACGCTAGGGCTAGAAGAAAAGAGAGAAAAAAAAAAAACTCCTCCTTTGCTTTGAGAAATAGTCATTTCACGCTTTTCCCTCAAGGAGCACAAAAAAAATGAATAACAAAACTGATATTTCATTTAAAAAAAAAAAAAGCTATCTCCCCATTTGCTCTGTTGCTGATTTATTTATGTGATGGAGAGCCGTCTCTCTTCTTCTCTGCTCCCCTGGATAAAGAAAAAAAAACAAACAAAAACGACATCCTCCGATAAGCTGTGTTTGTCATCTGCCCCTCTGTTGTGTTGTGGCTCTCTATCATCAGAAAACACTCTCACTCAGTTGTCACTCTCCATAGATCACTCTACAGTGAAGGATGACAGGAAACAAAAGGCAACCAATCACACGGATTGTTGCCAGACCAAAACATCAACCCAGGATGGTTCTGTTTATTGTTGTTTGTCTTTTACTCTTCATATTTAATATTGTTAACGCTTCCCATGACTTCTTGCCTCATTAATCTGCAGATGGAGGGAAAGTTTCCCATATTTTGAAATTTGTTTGAGCTGCTGAAACTGCTGTTGGACTTTTCTAAAACTACTACAATTCAGCGTTTAGATGTAATATATGTGCAACACACAGTGCGGTCATCTGTTGTTTATGAAATGCTTCTTCACTTTTTCAGGAAATCACCATGAATTTCCATGAAGATGCTCCTGCTACAAACGTTAAATGTCAAGATCTGTGTTTGTTTTAATTTGTGTGAAGCATTATTCCACTTTTGTGTGTTTCCCCATCAGTGGATAAACGCAGGACTGAGTCCGCCCACAAGACATCCAAGACGCTGTCTCTGTTATGTCGCTACAACTCCCAGGTTTTGTTCCAGCTCCTTGCTTCCCTCCTAACCTTTCTGTCTGACATTTTCAAAAAGGCAAAAACTACAAAGGCACACACACAGCTTATATTGCAAATGCTGGCATAAATGGTATTGTTTGTGCTGTTGGCTAGCCTGCTTTAAATAAGAATGGGACAAAAAAGAATTCATTATCTGATCTTTCTCTGTCACCCAAGCCTAGATTGTAAATATCACATTCAAGCAGTGTCGGAAAAGAGAAGCGAGCTACCTTTAGCCCCTTCAAAATGCTATTGCCCCGTCATGCGTCCTTCATTCTGTAATAGGTCAACTGCCGCCCCAGCCTGAATGCGTCCATCTTTTAAACATAAGCCCCACCAGGTACTGTGGAATGGATGTTCGGTTAACTCTGCTCCCATCTGACCCCCATCTGTCTGATTTGTTGATTTATAATCACAGAGCCACTGTGGGGAGGTCTCTATCTCATCTCTCTGTCCTTTTCCACTCACGATTTCACCCAGTGGAAAGACACAGGTTGCAGAAAAGAATCAGTCTGTTGTTCTGGCTGGCAGAGACAATGAGTGTGTGTGTGTGTGTGTGTGTGTGTGTGGGGGTGTGTGTGTGTGTGGGGGTGTGTGTGTGTGTGGGGGTGTGTGTGTGTGTGTGTGTGTGTGTGTGTGACCTGCTCACAGTAGAATCTTTATTTACCCTTGAACAAATCCGACCTCTTTTCTTTTTCCTCCCAGTAATTGCTTTTCTCAGTATTATATTACACAATAAGAATTTCAAAATGAATGAAGATGACATTATGATTACTGTCATATTTTTACTGGCTATGAACAAACTTTTGAAGGTTAATAAATTTTAGCACACAACAGTTATGGATTTTACATCATGATGGATGATGATTGCTCGATTATTTCTTTAAATTAACTTTCTGATAAAAAGTTATTCTTTCTTTCATGCATGACATCAGCTCGGAGGCCGATGCTGATTCGCAGAAGTCTTGAATTTATTTGTGCATGACTGATTTTGATGCGAGCTCACTAGTCGGAGATGAAGATAAAAATAATAAGAATAATAGAACGAATAATAAATATATTAATTCATGATAGCAAACACCCGTTCAGGAACAGGAAGTGGATATGTTTCTGTGCCTCATGGTGGCAAATTCGACACATCGTGGCCATTTTTATTCCCCTGTCTTTCATTGCCCTTTGTATGATTGCACAGTTTTTCCTACTTGACAATGTGTTTTTGGGAGATAGACATGCTGTGTGTGCAATAAAGAAAAACATACGAGGCACACTGAAAGTCACAGGTTTATGCTTGAAAGGAAAACCAATGTAGCATTTCTGGAGTGCAGCGTATGAGATGGAAGCGCAGTAGTGGCTAACTTTCATAAAGAAGTCGACAAAAGGGCTCTGCCATACCAGTGCACTGCTTCATGAATGACATGTGGATCTTGTCTGGCTCTTCAACACTGTGTTTGCTCATACTAGTTTAAAAAAAAAAAAAAAGGAAAAAAAAGTCAAAAAGTGGACATATTTAGGGATGGACAAATGGAAACTGAGTGTAACAGATATGATCCATCGCTTCCCTCAGTTGACTTTGAATCCCTCTCTACCTGTCTTTGCAGTATATCAACATGCTATTAAAGATGATTTAAGTCTATTCACCACAACAATTTGCTTTGGTTCTTGGATTTAATCGGTTCTGTGAGGTCTCAAAGCTGCCATCACTAAATATTATTTAGAGCTGAGTGAGAATGATGTTCATTTTGAGGCGGGACGTTCTTATGCATCACAACATTTTAATTTCATACCAGCAAGTATGATCAAAATTTACCGTAAAAACAGCAAGTGAACATTTGAACATGTGGTTCTAAAAGAGTACATTTGTCATGTAACTTTGTCATGGTTAAAGCGGCTGTAATCAGTATTTTTACAGTTGAATCACATGACTACTTGTAACCTGATGAGCCAAAACATGTGACGCAGATGCACTGTGTTTTGACACATTCCTCCCATATCTATCATAGACATTTTCTGCAACTTCGCACCAGCGGTAGGTACTCACTCCTGCTCCGACCCAGTCACCATATGTAATATGTCAATGTTGTGTTCCCAGCCGGTTTCTGCTGCCCCCAAGTGGCCAAAAAAATCTCTTTTTTTGCAGATTTAATGGACTATTCTTTTTTTATTCTTAGCCTATCCTATAATGCTAAATGGTTCACGACATTTTGATGGAGATACTGAAATTGTTTTGAATTTAAGCCTCATAGAAAGAACATGGCATCTTATAAAGTAACTTTAGAGAGAAAAATGTACTGCTCCCTGCCGCAAGAAGCTGATGGAGAATGGAGTTATTAGATATAGATTTGTGTACATTTGTTTTTATTGACATGAGGCAATCTTACATACATGTCATTTTGCATATTCCCCAAACTGACATAACTTTTACACTTTCTCATCATCCACTGTATGAAAAATGCTCATTTCATTTAATTAAAAAAAACATATAATATACTTACTATAGTGACACAATTATATTTACATTTTTTTAATCGTTGAATTAAACAAACCACCATGAAGGCTAATACTTGAGATTATGCAACATCATTTATAACTTGAAGTATCTCAAAGCGGTGTTAACTGAGAAACAGTCAATGTTAAATAGCCTGTACAGCTTTCATCACATTCACAATCACAGTGATTTTGTTGAGAGGTAAAGAAAATTTACAAGTAGGGGGGAAGATTTACATTCACAGTGGTATATGTACACAGATTCAGTGCTAATCTATAGAATAAAATTTGTGGTTAGAGGTTTTACTACAAAAGGATGTACTCTATCTAAATTTATCAAAAATGCCTCCTCATCCTCCTCCTTTAGTCGCCAAATTTTTTTTTGGCACAATGTAAGATGGAGGAAAACGTCATCGTAAAACACTGTACAAGACTCCCATCTGCTCAATTGTCAAATTTCAATGTCAACCACAGTAAATCCTGGCAGACAGGGGAAATGGCAATCAGATTATTTCGACCTGAACAATCCTGGCTAGACCGGAGCTTCGCCCACGCTCCCTGTGTGTGTAAATTCTTCATGCCCCGATGGCTTTTCATCCTCCTGGGCAGTTGTCATCCTCCGCCAACGCTGGTCAAGTGAGGAGAGGTACATCAGTGTCAGATTATATATATATATCGTCTTACGTGCTTAACATTAGTTATTCTTGAAGGCAAGTCTGGAAGTGGACAGTACAAATATCCTTGGTAGATACTTTTTTTTTTACCTGGAATGACTACACATTAAGAACGGGGAGGTTAGTACCTGTTTGATGCTGCCCTTGGTGGTGCAGAACATGAAGATGACGTAGCCTGGGATCAGTACCATAGAGGACAAAGCCATGAGCCAGCCAATCACTTGGCCCCACATTGGGTAGACATACTTCCCCAAGGTCAGAGGGGTCATCTCGATGGCACTGAAGGTAAACACCCCCTATAGTATACAAACATGTCATTAGTAGTCCATTTCAAGTCTGGCAATCAAGGATTTGAATTGTACTAAATGTTATGGCAGTCCATTCAATAGCTCCCAGGATGTTTAAAAATGTGTCTACAAAATTTCAAAGCCATGCATCCAGTGGTTGTTGAAATATTTTAGTCTGGATTGAAGCAGTTGACAGAGCAACTGACTAGGTGTCTGGACGTAATCACTGCTCTATGGGAATGAACTGTACTTCGTCATTTTGGCAGAATACCCTTAATTTTCCATTTATAAAGCTTACTTTAACATTACACTTCCTCTATCACTACAGTAGTGGGGATATAGACGTTTCCATGATTTCCCGGAGGGCCTGACAGTCCATGAGATGAGGTACAAATCACCACGTGGCAGAGGAAGCCAATTCAGCAATGTCATCAATCCTCTACCTATTGGCACCTGCTGAAGCCTGATGGGTTCATAGATCTCCATGAGAGAGAGGGAAGCACATGTGAGAGAGCTTGACCTAGAAAAACGCCTATCGTGCAGGTCAAATCGATAATCATTCCCTGCCTACCAGGCAGATCATCGGCGTGAAAAACATCCAGCAGAGCTTCCACCAGCCACATGGCCGATAGCCGATCATGTCCTCGATGTTCTTATAAAACCTTTCAGCTCCTGTGGCACAAAGAGAGGAGGACAAAGAGGGAGAGATAAGAACTGCGAGAAGAAAGCCGTACGGGGTGAATGAGAGGGAAAGGCGATCGGATGGAGAGTGTTATCACAGAAAGCGGAGCAGATAGATGTAATTTCCTGTTGGACAGCTATACAGGAAAATCTACATGCATGATTCATTTGGTGACTTGGCACAATACAGAGCAGCCCCTTTTTTATCCCATTTCAGCTTTTGTTTCACTCGGTTTCAATCTGCACTGTTTGGTTTCACTCGGCCAGCGTAGACGGTAAAAAATTGATTTCCTACCATAAAACCAGGCTATGGAGATGGTTTCGAAGAAGACCAGGAAGAGAAGACACATCCCACTGGCGGAGTAGTAATCAAAGAGCTTGAACACGTACAGACCTCCCTGGGAGACACACACACACACACACACACACACACACACACCTGCTTGAATGATACTGAATATTAATATTCCTCCCTTTATTGAATAAAATATGCATGATGAGTATACACCGCAGGTTGTTGTGAGATCGTTTTGTCATTATGTATAATGCAGGACTGAATTCTTTTCCTTAGTGTCAGAAAAATGTTTATGTGTGTACTGTATGTGTGTGTTGGGTTTTAAGACAACCTTCTTCAGTCCAGTCTGAATTAGCTGCAGCGATTTAAAACTCATAAAAATCAAACACACAGCGCACATAGTGTAAACAGCTGAGATCGTCTAAATACTGTGTTATGATAATCAACTGGGTTTACGGGCATTTTATCTATAGGAGCACCTGTGTGATGTTGGAGAAGCCGATGATGAAGGAGATGAAGCAGACGATGAGGATGAAGACCTTTTTCCTCTTCCTCAGCACCAGGGGGTATTCATCCATCAGAGCTGTGATGAAGCCTTCTACTGTGCAGAACTAATACATGACATTATGAAGAGCCACAGGTCAGAATGTAACTGCAGGCTGTTATTAAAAGAGGACTTCACAGTTTTAGGTCTAACTCTCACACCCACATACAAGAGTTAGTTTTTAATATCCATTCCTAGGAAAGAAGCAGTCGACATTACTGTAATCTTGGCACACAACATTATAAACAGGACTCATTCTTAATGGACAGTGTACCTCAGTTATACATCAGAGTTTGTTGGTTCAGAGTAATTAATGTCTACATCATCTATTAGGAAGAAATGTAATAAATTACACCATCTGCTCAGCAACAGATAATGTGTGTGCTGTTCATACCTGGCTGTCCAGGCCCAGCATCATGAGCATGGAGAAGAAGAGGATGGCCCATAGAGAGGACATGGGCAGCTGGGTGACAGCCTGAGGGTAAGCCAAAAAAGCCAGACCTGGCCCTAACGATCACGAACAAGACACACGTTTTAATTAATTATATTTTAGCCTCCTGAATTTTAACATATTTATATATCTAGAATACACACAAACAGACACAGACACAAACAAACCTCCAACATTTGAAAGCATTTCCACCGCTGCCAGATAAGTTCACTTAAATGTGCAGTGAAGGACTGAGAGCAGGTCAATTTGTCTGAGAGGACTTGTTCCACATAAAGGTCAAATACGCAATCTGTCTAAAAGCTTAAGAACTTTTCTGTGTTGTTTATGAAAAAGGACATTTCCCCCGGGAGAAGATGATAAATAAACTCCTTTGTCCATCAGAGTACAATCCAAATTATGCCAATCAGTTTGAAGATTTGCATCTTATTTCAGTACGTTCTGAGATAATATATTAAAGACTGTACACAGACAATTTTCACTGTCCTGCTTAACAAATGGGAACATACCTGATGCTGCTAATTCCTGCACAGGTTTCTTAGTGATGTATGACATGAAGCCTACGATGGAGAAGATGACGAAACCAGCAAACATGCTCGTGCAGGAGTTGATGCAGCACACTATGATGGAGTCCCTGAAGAGAGAGGAACAACATGAACAGTTATGAATGAAAGGAGGGGGAAAAAAAGAAAAAGATAGATAAAGCTTGTGATTTTGTGTCCCTAACTTGTAGACGTCGTTGTTGTAAGAGTTGTAGCTTCCCAGTGCGATGAGCGAGCCCAGGCCCAGGCCGTAGGAAAAGAAGATTTGGGTTGCTGCATCCAGCCACACCTGTGAGACAGCAGATACATGGGTGCCCGTGTTTGCGTCTGTTCGTCCGTGACCTGAACATGTTGATGTTGATGTTGTGATTGCATGTGTCCAAACTGTCTACCTCAGATCGGATGAGTTTTTTGAAGTCTGGAGTGATGTAGAAGCGGATCCCATCAATGGCTCCGGGCAGAGTGACCCCTCGAAAGAACAGGATGAACAGCATGAAGTAAGGATAAGTGGCGGAGAAATACACCACCTGAGAGAAAGAGAGAGAGAGCAACCTCTTTTTTTATGTATTCAAATGAGCTTCTATTGAAGTTCTATTGAAGCCAAAAACCCATGTTTGAGCTGCACGCAATTCCAAATTTTTTTCACTGCGTCTGTGTTGGAATTTCATTTTAAAGCTAATCACAACTGCAAACAACTCAAAGCAATCAAGCGAAAAAGAGATGCAGAACGCCTTGTTGTCTCTGTATACAGGAAACGAAAAAGTCCTCAGCTGCTGTTCCATGGCTTTTCTTTGCCTGAAGATCTTACCGGAGCCTTTACAATATGGACAGCAGTTCTGTAGCATAATGTTTATGCTTAATTGGTAATGTCCGTCAAGGCTGGGCCCCAGGGGGAATTCATATTTCTCACCACTCTCAGATACTACACATTAAAATCCAATTATCCCTGACAGTGAATGTGTGAATGTGTTTTCTGCTCACATACATCTCTTGGACTTGCGGTAATCTAAAAATCTTAGGCAGCAGACAGAATAATTTTTTATTCTTTTTCTTTCCTATCAACTCGTTCTGCAGTTTGGAATTCAAATAACACCTTTTAAACTTTTTACACATCTCTACCTTAGTGAAATGTTGAGAGCGAAATGGGATGTGGACAGCTAAATGACAGGAGATATAAACAAAGTTTATATAAATAAATACTAAAAACATGTTTCTATTAAACTGAACAAAACAAAAAAAAAAATAGAATGCAATTTTACTTTAGATTATCGTTGGAGTCAGTTAATTTGTCATCTATTACACTTGTTGATACAACTTTGTTATCAGTAAATACCAATCAAAATTGCCAATGAATGAGTAAAATGAATAAATTATATATTCTAATACATTACATTATAATATCAAATTATGCAATGTGGGTGAAGGACTTAAATGTTATCACCACTTGATTGAAAGCTCTCCCCAGAGTCTGATAAACCATCATTCTTGGACAGGTGAATAGGCTGAGAACAGTGCAAACACATCCAGCTGAGTTACACTTTAAGACCTGTGACTCATCAATTCACTTTCTAACTATTTTTAATCATTTATCCGGAGTCGGGTCACAGTGGCGGCAGGTTAAACAAGGTAGTCCAGCCCGTCTAGCCCTCCGGCATTCATCTCACTTGACAGCTCTGCTCCTCTCTTCACTCAAGTGCCTAAGACATACGGCCTCAATCTGATGACATGACCACAAAGTCAATCATCAATGTCAGGCCTAGAGTGTTCTGGTACCAAGTACACCTTGTTTGTTATGGCCAATCCATGACGAGGGCAGAAGTCCAATAACAAAAAAACATTACATGGGTTCCGATCAAGCACACCCATTTTTCTAACCCTGCAGGTGGTTGGACCCACAAGATGGCAGCCCCATGTTATTTTTTTGGGCTGTGCCTGACAGGGTCTCATGGGTCGACGCCCTGCCACCAGTTGCTCGACTGCGAGACTTGTGTCCCAAGTCTGGATCCCAGAGGGGGGCCCCGCTTTCCTTGGTCTGGGTGCGATGACACAGATGTATGAATACTCTTCACTTTGTGATCAATAAATATATGGCCCATCAAAAAAATGAAAAGGAGAAGGGGTTTAAATGATTTAGTTAGTGATTGAAAATGCACTCTCATCAAGCCTGCGATTTTATTTTCTTGTCTAAGGAGAGACATCTTGACAAAACAGACCCAGTAGAAGCTCATTATTCATGTCAACCATTGGGAGGCCCAATGGACTGATGAGTTGATGGATAAAGGAACTGACAGATAAACCCGTGCTTACTACTTGTAATGGAAAAACAAGGTGCGGTTGAGCTTAATCTAAATTCTAGTGTGGCACCAATCTCACAGTGACAAACGCTTAAATGCTGATGTTTAGCAGGTAGAATGTTTATCATGTTCACCCTGACATTGAAGAATGTCATTGTTTCCCATTTGTCTCTTTAATTAGCTCCACCCATTGACAACTAAACAGGCAACAACATCAGTTCTCTCCTGAGCAGCTTTGTGTCTAGTAATGTTTGTGTGATTAAAACTTTAATATCCAAGAAGATGAGAAAGGGGCTTAGATAAAGCAGACCGTGTAATGTAGCAGAGCCAGTCTGAGGCCAGAGAGAGTAGAGAAAAAAGAAATAGAAGAAAAACTGGAGCACAGAGTCTGACCTTCCCCGTCCACTCGACTCCTTTCCAGATTGAGAAGTAGACAAGGACCCACGCCAGCGCCAGAGTGCCCACTAAGGGCCAGCGTAGCTCTCCTGGCTCCTCTAGACCACCAGACAGCTGGTGCATGTTACGCCTGCAGGAACACACACACACACACACACACACACACACACACACAGAGAAATCAGACGCAGATAAGCACAGATAGCTTCCACAAATAGCTTTGATATTTACTTACACATTGTTATACAGAACATATCTTGCTGACTTACTCCCAGAACTCAGTGACAGCGCTGGTCAAATTGGTGGTGTCTGTCAGACTGTAGTTTGAAAAACATTTCTCCGTGTTCCAGGGGTTATCACAGCTTTGCCAAGGCAGCTCCTGCACACACAGATATACGCATAAACAAAACAGGCTGCAGTAGAAAAAAATATGACGAAATCTCTCTCAGTCTTGCATTCTGTGTTTTAGCAAAAAAAAAAACAAACAATGTGGGATTTATCAGCTGTATCATTTTCCTAAAAAAGATGAAACCAACAAGATTAACAAGAAAAAGAACAACAACATTTGGAATTTTCTTCACACTCAATGAAACAACTTCATGTGTCTCCTTGACTCTCCACAGTCGACTGTTTTGTGTGACTCAACAGCTTCAAAGACCACAAAGACTCTTCAGAACAAAGGACACAGAGACAGAGAGACAACCCATCCAACAGTGAAAATGACATTTAATGAACCCACCATGTTTTTGGCCTTCAGATAAAAACATCGCACAACAATGAACACTAGACTTTTTTCCGAGTCTTTTTGATGCCTGCTTCTCAATCCTCCCATTTCCCCACCACAAGAGCCTCTTGCACAATGCCTGCAAAGTCTTTGAATTTCTGTCACCAGGCTTCTTTGAGCCGACTGGTCACGCAGAGCACTACAAAAGCAGAGGGGGAGAAGCTGAGACAGATAAAGAAAAGGATTGTAGATTGGGATTGGGTGTTTTTCTTCTGTTATTGGTCCATAATCACAACCACCGTAATGAATTTTGTTAAACAAAACGTGAATTTCTCTCTAACGGCAGTTGTAACTCACTCAAAGTGGGAAGTGGTGGCATTTAAATATACAAACTTTTACATTTTTGTTTTTTGAATATTTTTATTTGTTTCATGTTGCACTCGGTAATATGTAGCAGCATTGTAACCACAATTTTAGGAATACTGTGATGAGCCGAAGTTACCCTAACACCAACAACCATCGCAGTCACTGGGAAACAGTTGGACTTTCTGCAGGGTGTGTTTCATGAAAGGAAACTGCTTATAGGGTCAGCGTTAATAAACTCTGACTGTCTAAATGTCTCAGAACTCTAATTAGTACCAGATTGAATATTTCTTTAGGAAACCTGCTGGGGAAGAGGATATAATGACCCTAAGAAATAAATTGGTACCATTTTATTTTGGTAAGGCTGTTTCAAAGTTTCTCCATGGAGCCAGGAATAAAATTCTAAAAGAGACTAACAAAATAATGTTTTTATTTATTTTTATTAGTCTGAAATTTTAAAATAACAATTTAAAAAACCTTTAAATTTCCAGTGAAAATACTGAGGTCATGACCTTAGTGTCCTTGGTGTTAGCTATGGCCATAGTTGGTAGTCAAAAAGGAAAAAGGTAAGCAATGCACACTAACTAGAGCCATAACAAAATGTCTGAAGTGCTTCATGCAGATTATGATCATGATTACTGAATATTCAACGTACCGAACCAAAGGAGTTGAATAAGTAGTAGAGCGCCCAGGCAATGATGATAATGTAGTAGATGTTGAGCCAGAAGGACAGCACCACTGCAGCCAGACCAACACCTGAAGGAGACATCAACATTTTACAGCACAATGCCTTACAGGTCAGCTGACATGCTCAGTGACATGTAATATGTATGTAAGAGGCAGAGTACAAATGCGGGAGCCATGATGTGACACAGAGAAGATTTCACTTAACAGAGAACTAACAGTAGCACGGTGTCACTCAGCATGTTCATTATAATCTTAATCCTCTTCATCATTGTTATCTTGCTATTTGGAATGTTTACTTGGCCTTGGTTTTGAGTATCCGTTGGCACAGAAGCACACTCACTATCACAGTTACTATCACAGTTGCTGTCTGAGCCGGCAGGAGATAAAATCTGCTTCACTCGAGCTCTTTGAGTGCAGAGGCAGTGGTATAATTGCTACCATCGAGCACTAGAGCAGGAAAAGATTCTTAGATGAAAAAAGTATTCTTCTTTTTTTTTTCTCCCTCTTGCTTATGTGTTTCTGCTACTCCTTGCCATTTTTGTTTAAATATTTTTTCAAGACATCAACAAGTGTGATGGCGTATCAAGTGGAAATATTGAACAAAAAGTCAAGTGGATATAGTGGAGAGATCACTGGGCACAAACATGTAAAAGTCCCTTCCACCACAGGCTGAATGGGATACAGAATGACTAGTTATTTGTGGTCTCTTTGTAGTTGCCTTGTCTGTTTGTAGTCATTTTGGATCTCTTTGTTGTCATTTTGGATCTATTTGTGGGCATATTGGATCTCTTTGTGGACATTTTGTGTCTCTTTGTTGTCATTTTGCATGTTTTTTGGGGGTTTTTTTGCAGCTTTTGTCTGGTTTTGGCCATTTTGCATTCCATTGTAGTTGTTTCATTGACTTTCCAGCAAGAAAGAAATAATGACGTCATGCAGAGGCTGAGGTCCAGGGGCCCCTGATTCCTTGAACTCCTGGGGCTTTGCCATGTAGGTCCATTCAGTATTCCATCCATGCCTTCAGGTACCAAGGTCATATCAAGGTGGGTTTTGAATTAACTGTGCCAGACTAAGAAGAGATTCAGCCACTAAAGCAAATGATACTTACTAGTTGTCAAAATGAAGCTTTTTCATGACGCATAATGCTCAGAAAGGGAATCATATCACTCAACTTGTATATGTAAATCTATATCAGACAATATCCAGTACATCCATATCTTCCCATTTATATCAACATTACCTTTCATCATAGGCATGAGTTTCCATACACCCAGCCCTCCCACCGAGGTGAACTGTCCCAGAGACGTCTCCAGGAGGAAGAGAGGTATCCCAGCAAACACCAGCGTCATAAAGTACGGGATCAGGAAGGCTCCTGATACACCACCACACAGCAGATAACAAACAAAAGATGTTAGGACAATGTAGATTGTGCATTGCAAAAGATTTTCAGGTTTTTATGTATTTATTCATTTATTTATTAATTTTTACCATATCTGTTGAGAACTCATTTTAATGTGTCAGTGTAGTAATCATATTGATTTAACTTGGACTGACAGCTCATAATATCATTTCACTTTGCACTGAATTTTCCTTTACCATATTAGAAACTTTATGGAACCTAATATTCGATTTGAACAAATTACATTTCTTTTGCTTCATTTTACACTGAAAAAGAAATGAAATATCAATGTAATATTGCGGTAAGAATGACATTCCTTTCTCCAATTTGTTAAACCATGGCTCCTGCCTGAAGATCTACTTTATTATTAGCATTTTATGAAAAATGCTAGAGGACAGTCTTGTTTAAAATATTATACAATCGACATGCAGGAGATACACACTGATTTAAAAACTTCCCATAAATCTTTATATGTTGCTAAATACCTTATTGCTATGATAAAACGTATTCTTAAAGAGAGGTTTCAGTCAAATCACCTATGAAACTAGGTGGCAGTGCTTTGGGTCAAAGGAAAATATTTTATCATGGTGGTCGCTGCATAAAATGACTCTGCTTTACCACCAAGCACATCATCATTAAAGCAGATAGCCATAAAACTGATTCCCAATTGTACCGTGTATTGTTACCACTATGGTGTACTGTAAGCAGTACTGAACATTTCATTTTCCTTTATCTAACCCAGTAAAAATGTTGTATATCTGCAAAGTATATCATAACAACGGACTTTAAACTGACTGGACCCATGCATACTATAAGATCTTTTGCTTCTGTCAGTCACTTACCTCCTCCATTCTTGCCACACAGATAAGGGAATCTCCAGACATTTCCTAAACCAATGGCGTATCCCACGCATGACAGCAGGAAATCAAACTTGCCCTTCCAGCTTCCCCTGTCAGGTGGCTCCTCTTTTGTCTTCTTTTCGTCTGCAGGTGGTGCCACACCATCCAGTTCCTCAAAGGGAATTGCTTGTTTGACCTCTGTTGGGGAGTTTAAGTCCACCGTACTCTGCCCAGTTTTCCCCATTATGGGAACACTACGGACCAGTGGGGTCAGAAAATCACTTGGTCCTCACAGCCTGTTCAAACTTAAAGTCTCTGCTGTCCGGCTGATTCTCTCACCCTGGGTTTGGATCTTGGCCGGACGAATGAATGTGCAGAAAAGCTGTTGAGGAAGATAGAATACAGGTGTTACAACAATTATCTATGGGTCATATTTCAAGCTTTTTTGTTGTGTTTGACAGTATTTTGTAGCAAAATACTATTGAAATTACAATTTATAGTTGTTGAGACATTTTTATGGTCTTTTACAGCCTTTTTATAGACTTGGGGCAAGTGAGTCCCAAAAGTAAACTTAACATCTGCCTCATAAACCTGCGAGAAAATATAACAATCAAGAGTTCCTGCACAGGCAAAAAGGAGCTAGTAAGGTGTACACAGTTTTCTTGTTTAAAAGGTGATGGTATGATACAAAGAGGATCCAAGTGGACCTCTTGATAAGTAAGACCTTCAGTGAAAGAACTCTCCCAGAGGCCAAAGTAATGTCTTCAAATGTGTTCTTTTATTTAACCAAACCACCAACATCAAAAGTTATTCAGTTTACGCTGAGTTTCTCAGTTTACAAAACGGAGAACCATTGGCCACCTGCCTGCGCCTGATGTGAGCAGGCAGGTGGCACAATCCAGGTCATCCTTTAGACCATGGCACCCTAATCACTACTGACACACCTCCTACCGCACCTTCCTCTCCAGTCCACCACATGCAAGTTTACGGTGAGTCACCAAAACACCACAAGAAACAGGAAAAAGAAAGGAACAACACCACTAAAGTTTCACCACATGCTTCACCACAACTCCAAGTCACGCACCTACCTGTCCTCCTAACACATTGTTGCTATCTATGAAGAATATAATCAGCTTCAGAGCAAGAGTTGGCCTCCAGTTTTACTGTAAGAAAAATCATATTTGCAATAATAATTATTAAACTTTTAAGTCTCTGTGATATTAATCCCATTTCCCACGCCTGGATGGCATCACGTGGTCAGGAAGTCCGGGGCATTGGGAGGAAGTTGCTCATTGATTAACCCAGAAACTGTCCAAATCACTTCACACCAATGCTTGAGGTTATGTACCGACTTTTCCCTGACAAGTTTCCTGAAACAACAACTCAACTCAAATGTGACGTTTTCAAGGAAATTTCCCTGCTTACTTTCTCACACACAGCAGCTTTGAAGCAGCAGGCTCACGCTGAGCTTTCTAACTGTGTTATTCTCTTGCATTCTTAATTGTCAACCATGTTACACTGATTTAAAAACCCTGCTGCACTTAATTTTTTGTGCCTTTTCTGTCTGATCTATTGTTCTCACTGTGTTTTTCAAAATATTCAAATGTATATTAATGTTTAATTGCAATTTCTCATGATGAAAAGCCTTTCTGCCATTTAATAGATGCATCATTTATGCCTTACTAGCTTTTGATGCTGTTGATAAAAAGACGTATTGGGAAAGTCTGCTGTGTGTATATGCAATAGACACACAATCCACATTCAAAATACGAAAAGGAAGTGCAGTGTAATAACAAAAGTTACGAGTCAGACTGACCATTTTAAAACAGTGACTGTGAGCTTTAGTATCATCAATATTGATCAAACAAATTCTCCCCTGTTGTGAAATAACTTCAATTCCATGCTGTGTAAAATGTAATCATCTTCAATTGTGCATAATACTGTGAAATGATCAAAAATACTGTCAAATTGTTGTCTAGGTGAGTACGTGTATCTGTCTCAAAAGCAAACCAATAACATGAAACACATCAGAGATTCTCTTTGAGCATGACATCCATTTAGATTCAAAGTAAATCTCTTTTTGACAATCTAAACTTTTTGGAAAAGTTTTGTCTCTCTCAACAACTACTAACAAAGACTTCAGTCAGGTAATGAAGTATTACTTTTAATGCTCTATTTAAAGCAAAGGAAAGAGGAGGGAGAAGAAGGTGCATCCTACCCGACAAACTTCCAAGTCCTTCGTCAAGTCATCAGCTTCAGTTCACCACACCGGCATCACAAAAGCCCTGGAATTACAATTTAGCCAAAGGAAAAAAATATCTTCTTGTGTCAACTGTGGAAAGCTTAAAGCCAACTCTCCAGGCCCAGAGGAAGCCACAGTGTTCCAGCTGCCCTAAAAGCTGTTTTTGATTTTGCAGCTCTTTCCTGTACACTGTATTTGGAGGACCTGTGGCTGTTCACGCAGCTGCTATCGAATGGTTGATAATAAAGTTCGACCTGTGTGTCTGCTTTGATTACTGCTCAGTTCTGACTACTGAGGCCCCGAGGCCATGAGGGGTACAGTATGTCAATCGCCCAGTTCTGGTGGGGAACTCTAGCGACAGCAGCGGTGTGTGTGTGTGTGTTTGTGCATTATGCATAAATGTTTGTTGTGATGGCTGAGGTCAGCTCTTGCCAACACTGTTGCCATGGTATTTCCCAACAGAGAAGGGCCTGATCAGTGAAAGGGCTCATGGAGTTTTGGAAAATGAAACAAGCAATGACTGCTGGCAAAGACTCTGGAAATGTTTGACCACAAGTGCGATCATGCCAGTATCACACTCTGACAAAATCAACATATAAAGGGATCTAATATTCTTCCTCAGTGTCCTTACTAAAATCATTGATCTGTTCTATATTTCCTTCTAAAGTGTAAGTACATTATTTTCATTTCTCTGTCAAACTTTAAAGATTATCAGTGAAATTGTGATATGCAGTAGGCACGTGGGTGTATATACACAGACACACACACACACACACACATACACACACACACACACACACACCATATGCCTGCTGCTGTGTTCCACTCTACTGTATCAGCTCTGTCTTAAGCAGACAACTGCCTGGCATTTCCAGTTGGTGGCTTTTTGCCTTTAAATTTCCCTTTATTTCCTTAAATTTTTTCTGATGGAGACCCTGGGCAAGAACAGTCTGACACATTATCCCTGTAAAACCACAACGTATTGTTACACTTTGGTTTTAAATGGATTAAGCAAACGAGGTACAACAAGTTAATCAGTGAGCTTCCCGTTTGTAGTCTTTGTGCTAAGCTATATGACCATTCTGGTAGACAGGGCATGCGCAAACCAGTGTAAACAGGAAGCAGATTGTTAACTCTTACTACTGCAGTTGATTAGTTGCAGAAAATACTAAACGAGGAACACCAAAGGCAGCAAAATGCAGAATTTAGCTGCACACCATCTGCTAGGAAAAACATCAAGGTCAGTGACGCTTGTAAGTCATTATCCATGTTGCTTTCATCGCTGGTAGTTGAAGCTGATAAGACCGTGGGTGTCTGCGTCATCGTTTCCAAAAGTCTCAATTTCTGTACATCCAGGCTACAACGTAACCCGGGAGATTTTTCAAAGTAAAACGGGGACAGCAGCGTTTCTAAAAGTTTTTAGGCGCTCGAAAACTTGAGAGTCGTTTGAACGGCAGGCATAAACGTAGCACAGGTGGTGCGTTTTAAAACTAAAACGTAGTAGTGTGGACGTAGCCTAAGACAACCAGCTGCTGGTGGTAGCTTCATAATTACTGTACAGACAAGAGAGTGGTAATAATGTTCTCATGTAACAACAAAATGTCAAGTTGTTGCATTAAGTACATTCCCTCAAATTAAAATTAAGATCATATTTGAAATATTTAAATTCTTCCTAAGATGTTTTGCTCTTTAAATTTATTTCCCCACGAGATTAAGATCAAAGAATTATCTTAAAACACATTATTAAACGACCACTTGCAGGAAACATGTCTTCTATGTGATAAAAACATCATAGTTTTGGTCTGTGACTTGATGAAAAGTGGCTCAAGTAAAAAGTCAACAAATGATTCAGTTAATAGTTACAGCACAAAGCAACGTCTATTGCTCAGTTTGCCAACATTAGCTGTCAGTAGCCACCGTAAGCAACTGGTAGTTTGGTAATGGGCTAATTCACACACCATGCAACCATGTTCTTAATATAAAAACATGTGCACTTGACATACAAAATGTTACACCCATAGTGCATACAGTGGAGCTATCAGTGTTCTCTTTTTAATTACCCTAGTGACAGTAAAACAATGGCTTCATTAATATTAATGGAATTAGATATGAGACAGGAAGCCCTTGTGTTTCTCGTGGCAGGTAACCTCCTAACATTAATATCTGCTCCAGATATTCTATCACCAGCCAATTAGAAAGACTAATGAACATTCCCACAATGGCCTGCCAGCCCCGTTCTCGGTGTCCATTGGTTTGCTGATAGGTGTGGCACTTGGTAGATAGGGGGTTTCAAAAGTGAGAGATTAAATCATATTAGAAGCTTAATTACACCCATAGCAAATCATTCATATCAAGAGCAGATTCAGTGTAATCTCTACTGAGGTTTATTTTCCCTGTGGACCCAAAAGTTGATAGCTGGCCGGATTGGAGTTGTCAAAGCTGGTTTTCATCAATCTGTTTAGAGCGTCCCCCCCAATCAGTGCAGCCTAATTATGATTCCAGAGCATCCACAGCCAAGAATAATAGGAAGCAATAATGTAAATGACAGAGGTAGAATGTCATAGAAGCAAAAGTTCAGTTTGCCAAAGTTATGAAGCTCATGTCAAAATTTGGTTGGTCGGCCTTTCTTTCTTCTTTCTCTCTTGAACAAATGGAAATCATCATATATAATGCAGAGAGTAAAACAAGAAAAATAAAGAATATTTAGAATGAAGAAAATTAGAGGAAAACACTTGATAAAAAAATTGAAGATGATAATATTTCATGCTCTGTCCAAAAGTCCTTTTTAGGAGCTTTAAAGGAGCTTTAAAGGAGCTTTAAATTCTTGAAGTAATTGTTGTTTTCTTGCCAGAACATGGTGATAATTTAAGATCGTCTTTGTAGCAGATCTCTAGTCTCCTGCAGATTTCTTAATACAAAGTGTTTAGGGCTCTGAGACTAAACATACAACAACAGAAACGAACCCATAACGTTTCATCACCGTGACATATAGCTCATTTAGCTGTTTATCCAACATATTTGGACATTTACTGTATATAAATCCCTTTGTGAGGTACGACACGTAACTCCACTGTGATATCTTGTTTGCTTTACTTTGTAACAGCAGCTTAACTTGATATGGATACTTCTGAGATTTGCTGAGTCTGCATGCCCAGAGATTAACTTTAGCAGCATAGTCATTTGTATGCATGAGCTCTGGTCCTGTCACTTCGTAATGAGTGCCTGTAGCAACAACAAAATAATTTCTCAGAAAGCAGAGTAATGGCTCATATTTAAAGTAAATCATGTGTGCAAATTTATAAATGTTAAATTCTGTAAATTATCAATATGCCTTTGGACTTATGTCTCCAAAATAACCTATACGTTTTCTCTACATTTATTGTGGTTGACGTATAATGTGAGTCAAATATATTCCATTTTAATGTTCATCTTCATGATGCTGTATGTTGATAGTGATAATGTCAAATGGGCAAAGCCTTGTTCTGCAGGCACCCTGTTGCCACTGAAGAAAACTGTATTTGATGCATTACATTAGTTCAGGAGTTTAACTGAATTATGATATGAATAATGACTCAGCAAATGTTGTTTTGGTGCAGAAAAACAAGAAAATCATGACATTGGTGAAAAAGCTGAGTAATAGCTTAGAGATGACATACAAAATAAACTTTGTGCACTTTTTAAATTAAAGCCTGGGAGGATTTTTAGCTACCCTATAGCTCTACAACTGTCAGATGGATTGCCATGAAACTTTGTACAGACTTTCATGTTTCCCAGAATGATGAATCCTAACCTCTGACTTTTCATCCAGCATCAGCAGTGAAATATCTCAACATCGACTGGATGGATTGGTACAGAAATTTGAACTGACATTCATGGTGCCGGCAGGATAATAATTCTGACATTTCCTCCCATGCCTCCAGCAGGTTAAAATGTTACTTTGTCCAATACTTTGGTTTATGAAAAAATACATATAGTATTGCATTTGCTCATTTTGGGAGATGTGTTTGTCAGCCTCAGCTATATTTTGTGTTTTGTGTTCTTTATCAGATGCTAGCATTCTAATGTGCAAAACTAAAATGGTGAACATGGTGCGAACCTGCGAAACATTAGCATTGTCAGTGTTAGCATGTTATGCCATGTTCACGTCATTACTGAGTTACTGTAATTACGAGTTTCCTAATTCTTCCTCACATGAATCATCAAGTAATTATAACAGGAAAAGCTCCAAAATACCTGACTTGGTGCTAAAAGTACAGGGCTGCCAAGTCTGTTGTCGAAGCGAATTAAATGCTGGTTTCACACACAGCATTTTTAACCATAACACGTCCAACTCTTCACACTTTGATCACACTTTGTTCAGGTTGAATCAGGCCATATAGTGGCCATTAAGTGTTTCTTAGCAAACAGTTGCTTTCTAGGTATCATGACACTGTTTGAAAAAGCGCAGCTCACGCATGTGTATTTCTGTTTTGTTTTGTCTGTGTTTATTGAATGAGACAGCTAGAATACCCAGTCAGTAAGGCTGACAGCTGCCATCTTGCAAGTCATAAACATGGGAATCTTTACCATTGCTACCTCCCGCATGATGTGAACGTGGCATACTAGTGTAATTTAACTTACGTTTTCTTCTACAAAAGCTTTTCGTCTTACAAAGTTAGTAATAGTTTGCAAAAGTACAACAAAACTGTCAAAGCGGACTGGTGAGTAGACCTGTTTTCATGTTCAGTGTGATGACGTTTAATGTCAACCGATAACCTCTGCAGTCTCATTTAGCCACTTGTCAGCAAACGCCTTCTTAAGACACAAACAAGCGTTAAAGAGTAGGGTATTTACTGATGTATTTTATGCTGTAGAATAACACAACATGCTTCCTGCAGCTCTCTATTAGCATGCTGACATTAGCATTTAGCTCAGAACACCACAGTGCCCAAGTGGGCTACAGCCTCACAGAACCACATGACTGCAATGCAATGAGGCAATTAAAACCGACGAAATGTACAGCACACTATACAGTAACATAAGCTAATGGTGAGTCATTACATCATGAAAGTAGATTTGCTTTTTTAAATTCAGGTTATTAATTTGAAAAATATTCCTCAGTAATCTCAATAACAACAACAACAACAACAAAAAACTGTTGCCTTTGAGACCTCCTTGTGAGCTTCCTTTAATTCACAGCACGTGTCCTGGTCTGTGGATCAAAGCGGTGGTTATTATAAAGCAAAGAACGCCTAAAGGCGATAGGCATGCATAGATAGGAGGCTAATATGACCAACATTTTCGATCAGTAATGCAGCAGGACAGTGCACGCCGCATGAATTTCCACAGGTTAAGGAAAAACGCGGGGTGCACAGCAGAGAGAGTATGATTGTGTTAATGAGAAAGAAAGTGAAAAGATGATGAGAGAGGAAGGGACAGAGAAAATCTCTGCAAAGAATGAGAGAGGGCAGGAAAGGTATAGATATGAGTTCAGTGGCAGAGTGAAAAGATAGTGAGATAAAAATGGGAAATGGTGCTATGTAGTGAGTAGTGCCTGGGTAGATGAGAGGGGAATGAGATGAAAAGATACATAGAAATGGGGAAAAAGATTGTAGGAAACCGAGAAAGATTGTTACATCGCTGGCGATAGAGAGAAAGACAGAAAGGGAGAGCGAAAAACATCAGATAAAAGAAGTGACAGAGGGCATTGAAATGTCTCCATTTTTAGTTTGCCTGATACACGAATCCGGTAGTGTTTCACTGGCGTCACTGCAGAGTGTGTCATTCCTCCCTGGAGATCTAACAACAGCCTCATTCTCCATTTCATTCTGCTCTCCTTCCATTACCCCTGAGTCACGTTTTATCATCATAAGTGTCTCAAATCCTTGCGACCTTGTTATATGCAAAGTCATAGCGCTTTATGTGTCCCAAAATAAATTACGTCAAGGCATTGTCACCATAAAAGCCCCTAAAGAAGCAATCAGGCAGAAATATAATCTATTTAATGTGGAACTTTCTGCAATCTGTTACTCTGATGCATTCAGTGCCTTCATCCAAGTGATTTTGATCAAATGGTTGGCTGAACGATAAGGTCAGACATTTTTCTTTTTCTCAACTCATGCCCTGTGGGAATATTTGCTAAGCGCAGCAGACGGTCAGAGGCTTCATTAAACATTGATGAAGACATACTGTAGGCAGGTACTGACGAGCATAAATGCAACACTGAGTGATGCATGTCCTGTATTCAACAAGAAATGGTCCAGACAGAAGTGTGTTTTTATCTGCCTGTTTTTGTGTATTTTCGATTTGGTCATACAAAAAGTTGATTGGAAACACAGCAAAAAAAAAAAAAAAAAGTTAAAATATTGCAAAAAAATTTTACATCTAGGTGAAGTATTGATAAAAAGAAAATGCAACAAAGTGCAACAGAATCAGACTTAAATGATGTATGAATGTAAATAAATGATGTGCATGAATCACATGTCCACGGCAGCTTCTGTGCCACTGGAGAGACTAAAAATAGAAGTTGAGAAAACATCAGATGATTGTGGAGCAAGAAATTAATACATGAAACAAACAAATTGCATTTCCATAACGTTTTCGTTGTTCATTGGACTGGTGCTGCCTCTGTTAATCACGTCATCTCGTTCTGTTCCCTGATTATTGTCCAAAAACCAAAAGTGTCTTGACCAAATAATCTTTATCTGAATGCTAAACATCTGTTAATGCATAGATATGTTCAACATTCAGTTTCCTTAAATCAGACTGCCTTCTGTATATACACAATTAAAACGGTCTGGTTAAGACATCAATAATTACCTGACAAGATAACGATTACCATTCAATCACAATAATGAGCCTGTGATATGACATTGCCCTTAGAAAATCCATCATCTGATTATGAGGAACACGAAGCCAGTGTGATTTTCTTATATTATAAGCCCTTTACCAAAAAGGGGGAAATAGTTAGTATATAAATCATATATAAATATAAACCAGACAAAGCCTGACATCAGTATCAGAGTAGAATTTACACTGTAAAAATCAGATACAGTACATATGTGATACAATATTGTTAGGTGGTCTCACACCACTTTAGAATAACCATCTTTTTACTTTAAATGTAACTTTTTTCAAGCAATGTTTGTTAATCTGTAATCCAATAATGTGACATACCCAAGAGAAAAAGTAGTATTTTATTTCATTTCATTTTCAATTTTAATTTTTCTTCTATTAAAAAAAAGTGTTATATTTATATAGGACTGAATATTTGAAAAAGAAGAATTAAAAAAGAAAAAAATTATTTGCCTAAGTAGAATTATGTATAGTTCACAGTGGTTCCTGCAGGAAGCTTTTAGCCTTCTATGAGAGGGCAGAAACTACTCTACATCTGTCAGGTTGTAGGGATCATCAGCAGCAGAGGTAGTCCAGTGGTCAAGATTGTTGTTTATAGAGTTGCTGGAAATCATGAAAAAGTGTGGTCAAGTCCTTTTGTCTTTTGGTTATAATAAGGACTTCTGGCTCATATGGCTTGATGCTTGGTTTCTCAGCTTTTAGATTCACAATGTTTTAGTAATTGATCAAATTATAATTACACGGAGGATGTTCTAGCTGACTCAATAACAGAGACAATCTGGTATTCAAATTAAAATACATCTGTTACGTAGAATGTTCAGGGAAGAGTATAGAGATCTACAGATTCATACAGATACATTTTTTCATGTTCAGTGTGCTCCTCTTTCTCTGGTTTCATTCATTCATCTGCACTGAAGATAATTGAGACATTGTCGCAACATGGCTTTACAAAGACAACATATGAATTGTAATGTGTAATTGTAAATTAATCTTACTTAATTAAAAGACAAACTAGACTAGTTTCAGATTACATCCCTGTTCATCCAGAATCATATAAAGTATTAACCATTAGTGAGAAATTTTGTCATAATTGTTTTGTCAAGTGCTAAAAAGTATTTTGTGCAGTCACACTGACCCTGACCTTTGACCACCAAAATGAATTCATCCTCGAGTCCAAGTGAACGTTTGTGCCAAATTCGAAGAGGTTCTGTCAAGGCGTTATTGAGATATTGCATTGACGAGAATAGGACAGCTGTACATACCGTCACACATCACACATACTCAATCACCCTAATGAATCCACCCTCCAGGCTCTGGCAGGGAAAGTTGAGGGAAACCTGTTAAGAGGGTTGTTACAGTTTAAATTATGTTGCATGACATGAAAGCATGTCAAGCAACACACTAATAATACCAGAAAAATGGTATGTGGCTGGAAACATCATCTCAGTCTTATTTAACTTACTTGAACGCGGGCTTTAGATTGCAGATTTACACACTTCGTCGTCTTCCTCTCACATTTAACTTAATAGATGAAATGTCCCTCCAGTCTTGAGAAATATCTTCTCAGTTCCTTTACAGGCTCATTTTTCAAATATTCATTTATTCTCCAGCAGTGTTAGCATCACTCCTGCTCCTTTCACTTTCCACTTTCGTGAGACAGAATGAGGGAAGGTAATACAAAGGGAAAGTATCATTTAGGGGGATCCCAGCTCATTACGGAAGTGAACTAATGATTAACTCTGTGCAATATCCCAGCATGCTCAGATATGCCAGTTGATATTAAATCTTCGCCCAAAACACTGACTGTCGGTCCAACTGCAAATGTGTTCACCTGCTAAATCTGATCTTCAGTGACATTTGATCATTTTCTGTCATATTGTTGTTGCTTTTGAGAGGCCAAGTGATAGAGGCTATCAAGTTGCATTAAGGGAAATGTAGGCTCCGGTGTTTTAGGGACTACAAGTCAGGATTTCTCTGCTTCTGCCGTTACGATTTTGATCGCTCTTTCTCTAATCTGTCTTGTGCGAGTCCCCTAACTTTCAGTGTGATTCTACATTGTTGGAGAAGCCCTTTAATGTAGAGGCAGAAACAACTCTTAAGGTATTGTTGGGTAAAAGCATAAGTTAAAAATGACTGCGTCAAAACTGCCCATTGGTAGAAAACCATCTAACCGGGTTCTTTTGACCCAGTGCTGGTGTTATTTTGAATATTTCTGTTGGGTTATTAATCTTTAACTACAATTTGATATTATAGTCTACGCTAGCTGTTGTTATACTTACTAATGTGGTCGAAGCAACCCATTGGTTCTGGGTGGAGTAACTTAGTACTGTGTTTGTTTTAACCCTGTCATTTTAAGTGCAAAGAATGAACGAACCTAAAAAACCTACAGTATATTATTTATTTATGTCATATCATTACTGTTTCCATGATGACTGTTAACAGCCTACTGGGCTTATTTTGCTCATCTGTATTTGTGTGATATGTCAATTGTTGGTACCCGAGCCAGTGGTTAGGGTTTTCCATTACAGTAACTCTGGCTGTGGCTGGTTATGTAAAGGCTGATGGATACATCACTCTAATTATAAATACGGGACATGTTGCACCCCTTGTTAAACCTATAGTTCTTTACCCTCGGGAAACCTGCAGCTTCTAATATAAGCACAGAGCCATCAATATACAAAATGGGGTCGTGACCTTACATATTCCTGCCACTATTCTCCAGCACTTGTGGAACATTAAACTGCCAGCAGCTTCTTAATGTTGGTTTTTATTTTCTCATTAAGATTAAAACATACACCAGTGTTAATTTCCTTTCGCACTTTGACCCACCTGATCCTGCGGCGGGCTTTTTGGCTTTTAAGGCCATATGTGTTCAGTGCTGAGGGTCATTCTGTGTTGTTGAGGGAAAGGTGGAGGGAGTTGGGGGTGAAGGGAGCTGGGAGGCTACTGGGTGGAATTGCCTGTTAATTGAATGCCGGTTTGGATTACACAGATGACTGAGCTTGACATTACAATGGAGCAAGTTCATGTTCACCAACCACATGTATCCTGTGACACCTTTTCATGTTTGTGTATGTATGCCTTTATTTAAAATTATTATTATTAGCATGTATGACAAAAAGAAAGCAGGAGACACACAGAGCTGTGGAATATTTTTGTTTTCCTGCTACAAAACAGGAAACAGGAGATCCATTCACTGAACTGACAAGCTGACCATCATGGACTTTTATTGAATGTTGATCCTCTCTGGTCAGAAATCAATATGGACAGAGTCAAAAGAGGCATATTGCAACAGCATATTTAGCATATTGATTCATAAAATTTATCATCATCCGTACATGGTATAGACACATAATGGATTGAAGATATTGGGCACATTCTGAAACAAAAAAGTGGTTGTATACAACAGAGATATATCATTCATAAACACGATATTTATCTCAGTAACAAAAGAAGCGAGCTAGCTTGTTCGATGTAACATCGCAGTAAAACAACATAATTCAGCAACCCATATTTACATTTGATGCTAACTGAGATTAACATTGTAGTTTTGGCTGCTTTGATTTGATGGCAAACAGCGACTACAATTTAGAATTGCAAGTAAAATATCGTAATAACCCAAATGTGCCAGATTTATGACCTTATAAGCATTTCAAAGGGAAACGCAATTGATTTCATACCTCAAAGTTGTTTAAAGGCTTTTGTGTCTCCAGAAGGAGCTGCGTAACATCTGATGTCAGTTTTAGTTCATCAATTTTTCCATTGAAACTGTTAAACGATGTTAAAGGGGTGTTAAACCAGAGGAGTACTCTTTAAAGTACTTATGAAGGATTATAGATGTATAGGCGTATGTGCATTATATTGGATTTTTTTTCTTTATTATTCATTATAAACAATAGTAAGGTAAAGACTAATGTACTAACAACAACAACAAAAAAGTTCCTGATTCATCAATTTTGTAAACATTTGTAAAATTAAAATGTGTCTTTGATGTCACCGATTTGGAAAATTTTGATGCCATCATGCACCATACTTTGCTGCAGGTCTATAAAGTGTTAAAAGTAACCATCACACCCTACAGCGTTCCGCCATCATCAGTTTCTCGTCTCTTTCCTCCACACTCCTGATTGGCGGCCCTTGTGCCTTGTAAATGACGTATTTACACAGTGTCAGCACTGGCTTGTGTGGCTGAGCCTGACGCAGGTCGCTGGATGGTGTAGTCATGTTTTGGGGATTCTGATTGGTTAGAGGAAAATACATTGTAAACGTAGCCACATACACATCACAGTATAATAATACGAGCTGAGAGAAAAGGTGAAATTTAGCTTTATCTTATTAAATTATATTTGAAACTGACCAAATATAAGTTTTGAATTCACTCACCCTCCACAGTGCTACCAAAATGAATGCTGGGATGCATATCAGTGGAGCGGCAATTAGTACACTGCACAATGTGGTGGCCGAGGTGCTGGGTACATAATCATACAGGTAAAAAGTGTCTGGGTATGCCAGGTGATACAGCACTGTGAGCTAGGGGACAAGAAATGGTACAGTTAGAGAAAAAAAGAGGAATGAAAGCTGACAGTGAGAAAAAACACTCAAATAGTAGATAAAAAGAATTGACTGACTGAAATGACAAATGTACAATTGACTGGATTTTGTACTATATTTATGTATTTTTGGCCACTTTGGGGTAATGAAACAACCTTAAAACACAACACTGATTTCAAATTAAACAGTTGATATGCACATACATATGCATATGGCAAAAGTGTTAGCAAACAGTTGCCTATTTAGACGTCCAGAAGACACAGAACAACACTGGGAATTATTTCTGGGAGTTGTGTTTCTGGCCAGTTGGCAAGTTCATTCGGTTTATTCCCTCTTAATTTAGCTTTGTTTTGGTTTTTGGTAACTGCCATTTGTTGGTGGGCACTGTGGGTTTATTAGGGTTTTAATAGGTTTTTTTTGGGGTGGTCAGGGTGGATGGAGGAATATCACACAGGAGAGCAGTGATCGATTCCCATGTGAAAGTAGCAATTTATGTTGTTTCTTTTATCCATGAGCTATTGACAAACCATGTTGTTATTGCTGTAACCATGACAACAAAGATTGTCTAATGTTAAGGAAGTACTTTTTTTTAACCCAAACCACAAATTTGTCCTAACCCTAACCAAGTAGTTTTTGTGCCTAAACCTAACCAAGCCATGAGTATGTTTATTATTGTAACCATGACAACGAAGGTTTGGTATGCTGTTGAAGGTATGCTGCTGACGGTAGTCTGCGTGTTTATTATTGTACCCATGACAACCAAGGTCCGCAGCCCCTGGTGCCGGAGGGGCACTATTTTAGGAGACTCTTTGGGTTCTTATAGTGTATGTGGTCTCTGTACATACAAGAACACCAATATAGTCCTTTAACTGACACCTTGCAAGAATTAATGTGCCTACTGTACTTTTTGTTCCTGTACTGATCATGTCTGCAGTGAAGTACGTTTAAAAGAGATGAGTCCACATTTTCAGGTAAAGGCAGCTTCTCTCTTCTTCATTCCCATATGTGAGCTGAAGAATAATTACTGATATGGCAAAATGAAATATGTTAAAAACTCAGTAAAGATGAAAGGCCTGAGAGAGGGAAACGGAGAAGTAAAGATAAGTGGCGATGAAGGGCAGCAAAAGATCTGTGCTCAGACGTAATATGAAGAAAATAATGAATACAAATGAAAACATGAGAGGAAATAGGTATTAAAGCAGAGAGCCAGCGTGAAAGCAAGAAAGAGACACAAGGTGAGAAGAATCAAGTGAGAGAGATGCGACCCAGGTGTGAGGACTCACCCCGCAGATGAGCGGCGTGACGAACATCCAGCAGTACTTCAGCACAGGGAATGGCTTGTACCCGATCATGTCCTCAATGTTGTCATAGAAACGGTCCGCACCTGCATGGAAGTTGTGGACAGGAGGTGCTGGTCAATAAAAGGGGTTGTTTTGTTCTTGCAGAGAATACAATCAAATGGCATTTATTTAACAGCTATAGTTACTTTTTAGATTAAGATTCCACATATAAATCTAATGTCAATCTAATGACCAGACCTACTGTCACATATGGTGCTGATTTATTGTTGGGAAACATGTCTATGTTATGTTCTTATACACAGTGGAGGATACCCAAGCTGTTAGTGAGGAGAAGGGGGAGAGGGGGAAGAACAACCTGCATATAAAACAAATAGGTAAAAGGTGTACAGGGAAATAAAACTCAAAACTTAGTCTCAGGAATACAAAAGGAAGACTGGTGAGGCACCAGATGTGGGCAGATGTGTGGAATGGGAGATGAAGATGACAAAGCTGTTCACCTTCACCTGCCAAAGAGAGGAGGAGAAGAAGAGAGGAACTGTAGAAAATACAATAAGGAAACTAATGTGAGATTGGTAAAGTGCATGGCCTGACTAACGGAACAACAGCCACAGCTTGCTCTCTGCAAATGTATAACAGCAAAGTAAGTTGCAGAACCTATTTAGGAAAGCAGCTCCATAAATGATACAGAAAATCGACTCTGAAAACTAACTACATGTTTGTGGAGGAGGTAAGTGAGTGGCCTCATTTAAATATGGGTGAGGACACATCCTCACACCTTACACAGACTCAGTTTGAAGAGGCAGAGAGGTTGAACGAATGGCTTAACAACTCAAAATGGGAGGAGGAAGCAGCTGCAGAAACTGATCATTATCTTACTCTGCATCACTTTGCAGTAGAAGATGTGTGGTTGGATTGTTACGTGGAAATGGAAATGTGCTTGTCGAGTCACAGAAACGAATTATGTACACATGGCCAGGATGTTTGTGAGAAAACGTCTAAGGAATATGTTTCTGCAAGTGACACATAGCGTCAGTTTCATTTAAGAAAATAATTTTTTTTGGGAAAAGTATCAATACTAATATGAGAACAGAGGAACTCGCCACCCACATGATGTAATTTAGCCAGTAATACTGCTGATAATGAAGGTGTATTTAATGGTGGAAGAAGACTCGTATATGGACATGAGGGATTAATATTTGTGGTATAGGTAATGGTTGACAGACAGACACATTTATGGTAAAGAAATGTCCAATGAAAAGGGCATTACATACTGACATATATATATAGAGTGAGAAAAGGACAGGAGTTGAACATCAAAAGAAAAAAAGAAAAAGAAAAAAAAAGAAAATGTAAGGTGGTTTGTGCTTTAATGGGACAGGAAAGGCCTGTTCCAGATCTTTGACTTACAGCTGAAGCTGCTGGTTTCAGGCCAGTAGGTGGAGCACTGAGCCTTCTGGTTTGAGATAAACTCTATAAACCAACTGCTCTCAGTTGAGAGAAAAGCCCTCAGTTGAAGCACTGAATGATTTGTGCTGGTAATACGCTGACAGTGTAACACCTAATTTCTTGTCTACTGAACTCTCCCGACTCTCCCGGGTTTTGTAACAAATACAGATATCAATACTGACAAAGGTCAACAGAAATCGAACAAAGAGAGTTTGTAATAACTGTACAATACCTTGCTTTATGATCAAATTACTGCAACCTTTGTAAACATTAATGCAATAGTTTGAAATTTTCTGAAATAGATTTTACTGACTTTTTTTTTTAACCTTTGAACAGAGCAAGGCTTGTTGTTACCCCTGTTTCTTGTCTTTTTGCTAAGCTAAGATGACTCTGCTGCTGTCTGGAGCCTTATGTTTATGTGTATGCTTTTAGTACTCAAAAAATATCAAAGGTTCACACAGAGCAAGGGCCCAATGTATTTCAAAATTGTTACATCTATAAATGAATGCAAGCTAAATATTCTCAAACATAAATTGAGACACAGTCCTGTCATCCTTTCAATCTCATCAAGCATCTCTTTTCATGTTGTTGGTGGAGCTGTTTTAATTTTACTCAGGATAAAAATAAATCGACTCTGGATTTCAAAGTTTTTTTTATCTGAAGCTTTTTTACAGATAAGATTACACAGATACAGATTAATTGATTATACTGATTAAAAAATGCTGCAGTAGGAATCACATAAAATGAGGAAAAACAATGAAGCTCATTTTGGCAGCTGCTGTGAATGTAGTGCACCACTGATGATGCTGATATTGTGAGGATAACAGACTACATAATTCATACACTAAAGGTTATCCAATATGACTGGCATCATACTAATTTAGAGCTGAATTAGTATACCTTATTGTAAGAGCAGTCTGTTATTTAGAAGAAACTCATTTTCAGAAACGTTTTAGAAAATATTGGAGGTTAGTAAATCACTTTAGTGTTGGTCGTGTAATGCACTAGCCATACATACTTACCATACACCCAGCCAATGACAATAGTCTCAACACAAACAATGATGAGGAGAGTGATATGACTGGCACCGTAGGCATCAATCAGATGGAAGAGGAGTATCCCTCCCTGAAACATGAGCAGAAATAAAACATGTGGAACAAAAGTCAGGTAGAAAGAGAGATGTAGCTGTCAGAAGTCCAGACAGGCTGTGCTTTTCTACCTTAATGTTTGATCAATAACCTTTACTTTTGGTTTCCCGCAGCCCAGGGCCTGAAAGCAGGGCACAACATTCTCGTATCTGAAATACCATGATATGAAATTAAATGTTTTTAATTAACAAGACAAATTATTTACGGGCAGGTTAGCGGGTCTGCAGGGGTTGTAGATACTTAGGCTTTGAGCTAAATGCTAACATCAGTATGCTAACATGCTCACAATGGCAATGCTAACAATCTGATATAATGCTTATTATGTTCACCATCTAAATTCAGTGTGTAAGCATCCTTTTTTAGCACTAAATACAAAGTATAGCTGTGGAATTTTAAAGGTAGGTACTACTATGCTAACATTTTAGCACCAAACACAAAGTATAGCTGAGGAGTTCCAAAGGTACTATCATGCTAACATTTTGGCACCACCAAGAGTTCTAAAGGTACTGGCATATATTACTACAGTATAGTTTTAAAGGTATTTGATAAAAAAACACAACAAAGTAAACTATTACACAAAATTCTGACCAGCTAATGGTGTCAATTGAGAAGTACAATTCATTCTGAACATGAATTTCTGTACCAAATTTTATGGTAATTCATCAAAAAATGTTGAAACATACCATCAAATTCACAAATGTCATTAAAATACATCATAGAAACCAACCACGAATCTGTAGTAAATTTGTGCCAACCCAAGACATATTTCACAGGATAAGTGAAAACTTTGACCTGCTAGTGGCACTAGAGGAAACATCAGTGGATCACCAGACAGATTTATCCTCTGGGAACCATGAATGTAAATACAAAATTTAATAGAAACCAAATAACCCTTTATTCCACTCTGTAGCAATAGTGGACTGACAGACAGACCAACACTGCCATTTGTAGACAGCAGGCTTCTGCTTTTTTGAGCAATCATTGCAGAATCTCTTTTAGTATAGATGAGTTACAGGAGTGATTTAAGTCAGGTTGTAGGAAAGTAGTTTGGCTGGAGTTGGGAAAACATAATTACATATATTATTTTCCATAATAATGTACAAATACATCTACCTGTTGTCACCTGACAGTTAAGTTGATTTTCACCACTGAAACAGCCAAGTGGTTATGTTTTTTACAATTGCATAACTTGATTTTATATTATCTACCTTCACAACAGCCTTTTTCTGTCTGTCTTCTTGCACTTTACCTCAGAGATGAACGGCAGCCCCAGCAGGAAGCAAATGATAGCAATGACCAGGACCAGTATCTCTCTGCCTTTAGGCCTTCTCAGGTAATGTGGGAACAGGTCTGTGATGGCTGTGGCCAGGCTCTCCACACACACAAACTGTGGGCACAGACTTGGATATATTTGTAACTAGAATATAATCCTGAGATGCTGTATACTGTATGATGTATTACCTACAGTACCTGAGTGTCTAGGCACAAGAGGATGACCATGATGAAGAAGAGCAAAGCCCAAAAAGATGAGCCGGGCAGCAATGACAAAACCCTAGGAATGGCTATGAAGATCAGATGAGGACCTGTAGAAAGCCCATGAATACATCTGTTAATATATTTTTCTGTTCATTAGTCTTGAAGTCAAGGGGTTCAAAGTCCTTTTAACACAGTGATTCCCGATTCACATTTTGGCATGTGATCCCTTAAATTGAAACTTCAAAGGCTTCAGGATGGGCATGATTTGTGAAGAATGGGGCTTAAAAGTGTTTTTATTTTTCTTATCTGGGTCTTTCATTTGAAGGAGAGACAGGAAGAGTTAAAACAATACAGCATTCCACAAGAAGAAATAATAAATGATAGGAAAGTCAGAAAGAAATAAACATAATTTTGTGTAGGATTATTTTTTTCTTATACCCTTAATGATTTGCTGACCTCTCAAAATTTCCTATGACTATTAATAATTAGTTTAATAACTTGCAACCTTTAACTGTATAGTACTTTCCCACAGCGATGCACTACAAGATGCTTTCCAAGTGTTAAAAGGAAACAACAAACTCAGGCAGAAAATTAGAACACAGAATAATAAAAAATAAATTAAATAAAACTAACAGCAATAAAACATGAAAAAGAAGGTTCTAGAAGGTCAACATAATTTATCATCATATCACTGGCAACAGTAACTGAAAAGTGAAATGCTTTCAGCTGTATCTAAACACAAGATGCCATCTTGTGGACATTGGTGGTTGTTGTCAACACTGCCAGCATTAAACTCACAGTGCATAAAAATTAATACAGCAACTGTTTTAGGACCTGAGCAAAAAAGTGCTGAGGGAGAACAAGTGGGGAGTTAACTCACCACTAGAAGCAACGTCTGCAATCGGTAAGCCAAGATCTTGAGCCATGAATCCCAGCACTGAGAACACAACGAAACCAGCAAAGATACCAGTACCAGTGTTCAGACAACATAGTGCCAGACAATCCCTGCAACAGAACAAGAAGGCAAGCCTGTACTGTCAAAGAGGACACAAATGAAAGACTGTATGTGTAATGATGAACCGAGAGAGCGACACGTCTGTGAGTAAGGACACTGACCTGTAGCAGTTGTTGTTGTATTTGTTGTAGCTTCCCAGAGCGGTCAGTACTCCCAGACCCAGAGCATAGGAAAAGAGTACCTCATTCCCTGCATCAACCCATACCTAGAGAGGGCCACATATGACAGTTTCAGGACCTTCATTGTTGAAATAACCTAAAGCATATTCTTTCCATCAACTCCTTTCCTAACAAAGCAACAGAAAAACTATTTGTCAGCTCGATACATACCTACATGATTTTTTTGTGTTTGTTGTGTCGTTGTGTTAACAACTATGTGAGTGTCCCCCATATGTGTGTTTGTATTTGTGCGCATTCAGGCCTGGGAGGGTGTTGGCGGGTTTGTTTACATGACTGTGTGTCTGCAGGCCATCGTCCTGACAACATCTGGTTAACATTAGAGGCGCCACAGCGCTGTGAGTTGGCAAGGCTCCAAAGCAATATACAGTCCCCTCCTCAGGCCCCCGCGATGGGTCTGACTGACACCCAGCCTCGGGTCAGAAATGGAAGCTTCAAGTTCGTGGCAAAGGGTTATCACTTCTGAAACTGGACAAAGAGGAAGCTGTTGTGTCCTTAGAAGCATGCATTCTATTTTGAAAGTCGTCTTGGAATGCTCTGCACACATATCATTCATGCACACTGACACACAGACAAAATAAGACACGTTAAATAGAGCCCAGAACTACGCCAGAACTCCATTATGATTTCCTGTCAGTTTGAACAAAGAACACAAACTTGCACGCTAAAGCAAGACTCATTAGAAACAGATCTGTTGTCAGTTTTTAAGAGCATCTGGCATTGCATAACTCTGCTCTGGCCCATAACTGCTTTCACCTGCTTTCGACATTACTCCAAAATATATTCTCACAGCTTTTCCCTTTGCGTTTATCCACGAGTATGGCGTAAGGTTCCCACTGTGTTTCATAGTTGTTTTGCAGAGGATACAAGACATCAGTGTCTGATAAGAGCAGCCACATTTTGTCTTCCAACTCTAACAGGCAAAAGTAATATGATCAGATGTTTCAATTGAGTGGCATGTTGCATCCAAATGAGATAGTAACAAAGGAATCCAGTTATCAGACGAAGACTGGAGAAGAAACAAATAAAGCAAATATCAAGGGGCTTCTTCTGATCTTTGTGCAACATCATCCCAGATAAACCTAGAATATTTTCATGTGGACACTTCTCACAGGAATATTCATACAAACATATGCATACATGCAAATATACATGCCAACATGGGAAGAGGAAGTGACTCCGCTCCACCCATAGACAAATGTTGAGGCTTAACCCCTCAGTGATAACATTTGACTCCTGAAGCTAAGAGTCTTGCTGTGAACTGTCAAGAGGAAGAAAGACAGACAAAAGCAGATAGAGGAGGATGTGGGGAGAGGAGTGAGGTGGGGTCCATCCATTTTTGTTCCCCTTTTTTAAGTCATTGCTGGACAGATGCTGTCGTTGTGCAAAAGCATTCCAACCAGAATCCATTGATTGATTGAAAGATCTATTGTAAGAACGTAATGCAGTGTGTTGTTTTTTTATGTAACTAAAAATCAATAGTTTGCAAAAGTCAGCTAAAAGCTAATTATATTGGCTTTTTTGAGTATACCCTCAAAATGTGTTAGAAATTCCCCATCGGAGAGCACAGTCAACATTTTTTTGGACAAACTTCTGAAAACGGATCTTAGTTTGCTTTTCTTGTTAAGTCTCTGTCTTGTGATCGGAAACAAGAGTCAGCGCAAAGAAAAATGGGGGGTGGTGGGGTAACTGGACACTGAATTCATCCTGTTAGAAAACAGAGGAATCTAACAGAGAGAGAAGTGTTAAGGAATAAATAGAGAGAGGATGTTCTTGTTGGTTGTGAGGCTAACACTCTGAGTTGCAACGAAAGAGCACTGACTATTGATTTGAGAGTCACATACTGAATTTCAGATGGCAGCACAGTGGCCGCACGGTGCATTGTGTATGTAAAGCAAAGAAAACATTGTCACAAAAACACTTAATTATGACTTTAAGTTCTTACTGTAGGCACAGCAAGTTTTTCGCAGTCAGGGTAGAGGTAATAAAACAGGCCATCTGCAGCGCCTGGAAGTGTTATTCCACGGAAGAAAAGGATGACCAGTAACAGGTAAGGGAATGTAGCTGTGAAGTACACCACCTACAAACCCCAAAATGCAACAGGTTATGGTTTCATATGTATTTACAGCACATGTCTTTTGTTATAGATACTATACATACTCTCTTTTTCTGCATCAATTAAATTCGTCCCCTTGGTGCTTTAGAAAATGTAAACACAACATTGGTATATTATCACCCTAGAAAGTTGTCATGACTTACATATTTACAAACAGTTGCCAATGACATATCAAGCAAATAAGAGCAACATAATTGTTCAGGGTTCTGGTCACTTGGTGAGTGTAAGTCCAATATTCACTCTCTTTTAGCTTTGGTCTCCGCCAACTCCTGAGGGAGATATCTGTCTTTTAGCTTCTAAACACTAACATCGCAAACTTTGTCTGTCTGCCTTTTGGTGCTGGGCAAGTAGCGTACTGTGGGTTTATCCGACTTAATTTCAAAAACGTGTGCATGCTGCAGTTTGAAACACAGTGAAGTTATGGGCTGTAAAACCAAAACAATTGGCTGAAAGATGCTAAAACAGTATGTAGAGATGAGGAGGAGAATCAGATGATAATTCTCTGTGGGTTTATCACTACAAAAGACCCCTTTCACATAATACAGTCATTTCATCGATTGTATTAAAAGTGTATTAAAAATGATTAACGCAAGAATCATTTACTATGAATCTTTAGTATGGGAATCCCAGAAAGCAAATACATCGAATGGCTATTGCTGCATAAATAAATATAATCAAAAATAAGTAGTTTGATACAGCAAAAATAAGGATAACTTTGAGTGCACCAAATTCTCACTTTGTTACATCTATACCACTAAAAAAGAAGTGAATACAGATACAAAGAGGGGGAGATGAGCTAAAGACAGCTGACATAACAACTATAAATGAAGGGACTGCAACCTAGTTTCCTGTATCCAAACGGAGTACTCGCCTTTCCTGTGGATTTGATTCCCTTCCAGATGCAGAAGTAACATATAACCCAGGCAAGCAGGAGACACAGAGCCAGGTCCCAGTGTACCTTACCCAGGGACATGTCCTCTGACATTCTTAACACACGGTTACTGTGAGAAAGAGATCAGACCCGTTAACACACATATACAAACACAAGCTCTGCAAATAACAAGCAGAATGATGGATGTACAGATGTGCAATGTTCAATGTGTCTTGACTCTGTTACAAGTGTATATGTATATATATATATATATATATATATATATATATATATATACGTATACAGCAAAAATGCCCAAACATCTGCATCTCGAATACAGTTGACTTTGGATGACGTCAGTTCACATTATAAAAGCTGCGAGGAAGAGAGCTCACATTGTTCTCATGATGCAGCACAGATGTATATACAGAGTGATTTGCCAATATCTCCTCTCACACCAAATCAGGAGATTATCATGTGAAGCGAAGCAGTCATTTCGAAATGGCTAAAAAAAAGGGGAGGCAAACAACTTTCTATCAAAGTTGGAAGTTGAATATGGTGGTGTGAGCGGTCTTTCGTGGCCTCTAAGGAATGTAACTAGCTTGTTTTCCCTGCTGTGTGTGGGTGGCCCCAGTTCACCTTTTGTTGATTAACTATTAGCATCATGCTCACTAGGCACCCCAAGAGTAAAGATGTCGACTTGGTATCTGGGAAGCATTAAGAGCTATTGCTGAGGAATGTTCCACCCAAAGATAATCTCACTGGGGACGATGATATTACTGTCAAAGTTTTATTTTATTTATACATTTTTTTTTATGTTTAAAGATGATAACTGCAAGTGAAGCGGGTGTGTTTCTTACAGCCAAAACTCCTGTTCCGGATTCTTCATTATCATGAATGGATCCGTCATATTCCTGGAAAAATGACAGGCAGGTAAGTAAAGTGAGTTGAAATCATAATAATTTTAAATACTTCTTAACCATTTTTTTTTTTATTATTGATAGGCTTAAACTATTATCAGTCAAGTTCTTTCCAATGCAGTCTTTCTAAACAGTCAGACAATATAATCAATATTGTTTTAAGGGATGTTAAATCTGCAGTGCGGAACTTTTGATTCCCCCATGTGGCAGTGAAAGTAGTTACACAAAAACTGTCAAGAGCATGCTTAAGACGTACAAGTTGATCGCCTTCTTTTTTAGACTGTAATCCTTCCTCTGAACGCTGAGTTTCTTTCTTATGTGGAGCACCAGAAATTTTTCTTGGATGCTTCCTAGGTTTTTCAGCCATACTCCTAGTTGCTGTAGCCAACTCCATCTCTGTCACTACGGATGATATTAATATTTGGCAGGTGTTTTTTATGTCTGTGGACAAATTTTGTCAGTATGATAGCATCACAACTGTGTAAGATACAGTCACGAAACTTTACACTGAGGTCTTTACTGAGATCAAAATGAAGGCCGAGTTCGAAGAGTTCAGGTGTGGTCTGAGTACTAAGTCAAGAACATCAATATGTTGTCTCGGCAGGAGTGATCGCAAGGCGAGATGGTCCTTTGGTTTCTTTACATATTATACAAAATGAATGACTTGTTAATAATAAGATTCAGAGTTGCTGGTTTGGGTATTCTATTCTATTATATTAGACAAAGAAAGGCTAGCTGTTTCCCCCTGTTTCCAGTCTTTATGCTAAGCTAAGCTGACCGGCCTCTGGCTGTAGCTTCATACTTATGTATGAGAATTGGTATCAGTTTTCTCACTTAACTCTTGCTTGACGCCCTACTTTTATTACTGGGTGTACTTTTCACCCCTCAACTGTCCCATGGCAGCAATTAATAGTGTTTGTTTTTATTACAGAAACAGATGTAAGACTCTCCACCTCGGAACACATAAAAGCATGGGTGTGTCCTGAAGATGCTAAATCTATGGAAGCCAAGACTAATCACATATTTCTTATTATTCTTTTTATGTATCACATCATCATGATGAATCCCTGCTATGAATTCAGTATGTGTGACAAAATTATACACTGATAGTTCACCAGGCACAGCTCAATAATGAAGATGCAACTTACTCATAACCGCTGTTAAACTGAAAGTCGCTGGGTGAGGTGATGTTGTATAGAAATGACCAGTTGAAGTCAGGGCGAAACAAATCAGGGTTGGCAAAGATGCCAGCATGAGTGTGACATGAATCTACACGGTTGAGGAAAGAGAGATAAAGATGAGATTGATGGTGCACACTTCACAATGCTAAAATGTGTGGGAGGATTCACTTGTGTTTCTTCTGAAGCAAGATTTATAGTGTGTGTGTGTGTGTGTGTGTGTGTGTGTGTGTGTGTGTGTGTGTGTGTGTGTTCAATTCCATACTGCTAATAAAATACAGATGTGCCTTACTAGAGTTCCAAGAGTTGTCGCATGTGGACCAGGGCAGAGGACTTCGAAAGGAGTTAATCAGGTAGAAGATAGCCCAGGCCAATATCACAATAAAGTAGATGTTTATATAGGTCACAGTCACTTGGGACGCAATGCCTACCCCTGCAGGACAAAGTGAGTTTTCACATAGTTAGTGAAAGTTTCTCGCTGCTGTCTTCTTCTGTGTTATGCAACAGTGGCACCTCCCCTGTATTGGCTTGGTTCCCAGTCTCCAGCACTGTTTGTATACGTGTTATAGATGTTCTTATAGATCACTTTGATTTAACATTACAAGCATTTCATGTGAACAATGAACCACCAGAACTGCCCACAATCTACACAATGTTCCCTTTCACTTAGCGTTTATCTTAATGTATCCTCTGGCCTGTTTTTAGATTTAATCTCCTACTATTTTCACATGATTTAAGAATGTGCATGACTGCAAATGCCCATATATGTTTCAAATAACAATGAAGAAAATACAATGAAAAACAGGTATTCCCTGCATGCCGAACGACTAATTATTGCATACTACTACAAAAATCTGTCATGAGCCTTGTTTTTACCCTCAAACATGGGGCATATCTTCCTCCAGGCAGTGACCCCGCCCTCACTAGTGTACTGGCCCAATGCCGTCTCCAGGAAGAACACAGGGATGCCACAGAAGAAGAGTAATGTAAAGTATGGGATAAAGAAAACACCTGAAAAGAGACACAGATGAAGAAGTCTCTCATGTATGCGGTGTGAGGCAGGGGTTCTGCAAATACTGGCATGCAACAAATCCCCTACATATTAAAAGATACTGAGGAAATTGATTATGTAACTAGCTGCAAGTGGAATATCTAAGATCAATCTGTATAGAATGGAGTTGTAGTGAAATTACACCATGCCTACTTGTACTGTGTAAGATAGGACCCCATATACATAATTATTATGTATAATGTCAAACTTAAAGTTATCTTTTGGGGACTGGAATCTTTACAGAAGAATCAAGCTAAGATTTGATATTATTAAAAGTTTGACTATGATGACAACAATGGAAATCCAGTTAGCCATTAAGATGATGAACAATAAAATTGCCTGTTAACTGTGTTTTCATGTAACAGACTTTTAAGACTTTTGGTGCCCTTTGTCTTTAACCTCCCATGATCTAACAGTTTTCCATGTCTTATTTTGTTGCACATGCAAACATGCATATACATGTTGTGTAGTGACATGCAAAGCACATGAGCAGGCACACCCGTAGTTCCAGGATGCAAAACTATTACTCAACCTCAGCAGCCATTTATTTAATGTCTCAGCCATCAAAAGCTCCCGCACATGTCCAAAACATGTTCCTCACCTCCTCCATTCTTGTAGCACAGATAGGGAAACCTGACAACGTTTCCAAGTCCAATGATTTGCCCAGCCATGCACAATATGAATTCCGTCTTGTTGGCCCATTTCTCCCTTGGCTGAACCCCTTCATCAGGAGCCCCTTTGTCTGGCCCAGTGTTCCTAACAGGATCTCCTCTGGCAGTTTCCTCAGCCATGGTCTCTCAGTCTTCTGCATGAACATATAATAAACACTTGAGTGAAACATAAACCATGTTTGCTCCAGCTGTATGCAGATATGGAACAGAAGTCTTTACAATTTTATTGATAATTCTCATATTTATCTTAGTAGCTCCCACAACAGTAGCCTTTTTACAGTCTCTTACCCTGGTTAAAGAAAATAAATGCAAAACATATTCTAATGAGCCAATTAAAATTGTCTAGCCTTTAAAAAAGATTTGAATGCATGTAACTCACCCGTAGGTTTAGGGTGGGTGCCGACCACAAAGTCCTTGACTGAACGAAGTTTGAAGAAAAGACAAATTGTGAAGTGGGGAGTGGCCTGAAGGATGTCTGCCACACAGCCGTTTCCCCATGCACAGGAGCGCGTGCAAAGGTTTGGTGGAAGAAGTCTGCAGATGGTTAAGCAAAAGAAATTACAACATCACAATGTAAAAACAATTCAATAAAACATAAAATAGCTGAGAAGTGAAAATTGTGCACCCCCCCCCCAAAGAAAAACAAAACAAAAAAAAACAAAAAAAAAAACATCTACATCATGTGTTACACATGATTTTCACCACTCCCCAACAGTTTTTCTTTCTCTATCTCTCTCATATTAATCCCTATAATTCCAAAAACCTGTTTGAGTTGCAAGATGGAACATGTTAAATTATCATTATCATTAGGTTTTTCTATGTCCCAGTTACTTTTCTTTAATTCTAGGTATAGGCATTGCATATCATGCATCTTCTTCTCTACCAATAACCTTTTATATCACAACTACTGTACCTGTGTACGACTTAATTTTGCCTACTTCATTATAGCAGTGATTTTATGGATCGTTTCTATACCTGACAGAACAAACTGAGGGTAGTAAAGCTCGGCGTCAAAGGGAGGAGTTACATCATATTGACGCATTAACGTACAGTGCGTGACGAACCAGGAAATAAAAGTAAACAACGCACAGGAAGACGAAAATGTTATGCAGCGTTAGTCATCTATTCTCGTGCCGACTTTGCGATTTTTCTGGTGCTTTATTAATAATGCATGAAGGATTTATTTCCCAATAAGGACAGGGAGCCAATTAGAGACAGGCTGAAAACTGGTAAGACACCCGTAGAGTTGAGAGGAGTCGGGTGCGGCAGCCGCTAATGATAGCTAGCTCGATATGGCAAGTTCCTGTATTATTTGAATTTGTTAACAGGATGAAATGCCCTCACGACCATGGCTTAAAAACATCTCCTTGACGTTAGGTTTGTCCGACGAATAAAACATCATCTTGCCCCAACGCACCCACCCCCCTCACCCTCCCCACACCCCACACCCCCCTCCCCATACCTTCCTTTAATTTTTTAGCTGCGATTTGCCTAAGTGTGTTCGCGTGTTTTCACTTATTAATTGCAGATTTAGCTATGTTAGCCATCAGATCGTCAGAGGAGGAGTCCACTGAGATTGAGGAGATGGACACCTCAGAGCCCAACTGGTGCTGGTTCTACTTGGCTGAGTGTGGAGTGTGGCATATGTTTGAGGTAGTTCACGGGACATGACAATACACTTTCTAACAGTCTTTACACTGTGTATTCCCCGCCTATTGCCCCTCCCTCGGTGATCCTTTCTCCCATTACCACTGCGTACAGTTAAACATCAGCAGAGCTGCAATTTAAGAAAAAATGCCAAACATTTGATGGCTGTCTCTGCTTTTTTTGGTGTGACTTCATTTAAATTTTAATAATTGTTTGGTTTTGAACTGTTGGTCGGATAAAACATTTGAAGATGTCACCATGTACTCTAGGATGTAGTGATGGGCATTTTTTTCTCCAATTTTCAGATATTTTATCAACCATATAATTAATTGTGAGAATAATTGAAAGATTCATTGATAATGAAAATAATCATTAGTTGCCTAAACATTAGACTAGGTCTGCAATTAACAATTATTTGCATTAATTATACATAATTTAATAGATTGTTTTTAGAATGTTAGATAATAAAACTGGTTTCCTTAAGTATAAGATGACATCTTCAAATTGACCCAAATTGGAAGATAAGCAATTTACTATCACATAAAACAAAGAAACGTAGCAAACAATCATAACGGAGAAGCTGGAATGACTGAAGTGATGAACTTACGTCTAATTAGTTGCCACTTAATTTTGTCTCCATCCACTAACTGATTAATTGAATAATCATTTCCGTTCTCCAATAGACTCATTAATTTTTACTCAATTTCCCTGTCAGATTGATCCCAGTGCAGCCTGCTCTGTGACCAGTGCTCAGATTGAGCAGTGCTACAACAGAAACCAACGCGGCATTATGGAATTCTACACGGCAAAGTATACGTACAGACTGGACTTTTCAGGTATGATGATGAGAGAGCAACTTTTTGCATGACACTGCACAGTGCAAGTAGAACTAAAGCTATTTTATTTTAGAATATTCAGCCATAAAAATCTTGGGAGGAAAGTAGTAGTAGAATTTTGGTGAGGATAAGTTATATTGTATTAAAGTTAATCCTGTTTTAAAAATTGTATGTGAATATAAATTTCTGTAGGCCTTATCTGAATTAAATTCCTTGCCAGTTATGCGACAGATCAATGTCACAACTGGGAAGCAGCGGCCAATCAAACGCTCCCTCCACTCTGCGACTGGCTTCAGGTAAGATTTGGTGGTAAAAGTGAACATGCAGAGAACTTTTGCCTTGAGGAAAGCCCTAAATTCCCATCAGCTCTGCAGAGAGCTTCCCTGCTGCTGACCCTCAGTTTTGGTGAAAGAATAAAGAGGATTTCTCCATCAGATACACATACCATAGAATGTGGCTCTCTTTTTTTGCAAGCTTTTCCTAAGTGACACTTGTGCAATAACGTGACACAAATGTTCTCAGTCTTGTGTTGTTGTAACAATCTCTCTTTCACTTAATGTGTCAGGTTTATTTGTGATAATCTTGCCTTGCCTGTTCCTTGTCATTGGGAGAGAATCAATACAGATGAGCCCTATCAGGTGAGTAACATAACACAACACACAATGCTGTGACGTACACTAATTTGGTTCACATACCCGTTGTCGGAACTAGCGTTTACACATACCTTTTCATATATAAGTTTACACTAAATATTTCTATAATTACACAGTTCATGTACAGTATACTGCAACTGTATTAACATGTAAAGCTTTTCCAGTAAGTTCGCTGATCATGGGAACAAAATCTGACCATTGTGACTGGAACTAAAATAACATGAATGTTTCTATATTATATTTAAATTAACATAAAAAACATAGTCTCACTCTGCAGTTGTTTACTACTCCTACATTATTTATTTCAAATTTCCAACCAAGCTTTGGCAGTTTTTGATGTTTTACTCATGCGTGATTGTGATTTTGCAGCTCATCCAGCTTGGTAGAGACACATATGAGTTTAAAGAAGTAGCCAGACTGTATGAAAGGACAATGGACCATCCAATCAAATCCATCCAGAGGATTCAGAACCTGGACTTATGGGAGTTCTTCTGCAGGTAGCAAATTGTTGAACTATTGTGTGTGTACTGCATAGTGTCCAGAGGGCTCTTTTACTTTACTTACTTTATTTATTTATAGAGCGCATTTCATGCACAAGGCAGACACAATGCGCTTTACAGCATACAACAAAACAATAACAAACAATACAAATAGCACAGAGTAGACAAGCGCACACGCACACGCACACACATTCAATCAAACGCTGTTAAGAGGAGAAAAGTTTTTAACCTATTTTTAAAAAGATTGACTGACGGGGCAGTCTTTACTGCCTCAGGCAAACTGTTCCACCTGCGTGGGGCATAAACAGAAAATGCAGCCTCCCCTTCCTGAGTTTTGGTGCGGGGAATGACTAGTGTACTAGTGTTTGTGGACCTGAGGGTTCTTGCTGGTGTGTAGGTAATTAGCATGTCTGTTAGGTACTGAGGTGCAAGACCATTTAGTGCTTTATATTTTGGGTTAGCAGGGGATTCTGCTTTGATGCACTTGGTGATTGCAATCTGATTTGATTCTGATTTGCCGTCCATGAGACATTCTGAGAGAAATACAATGGTACTTTTCTCCAGCAGCTCCACAGTCAAAAGTCTCTCTTCCTTTAAAATAAATAAACAGCATCAAACCAAGGTCAGGGCATTCTTGTCTTTGCAGAAACATTTAATTGATTGTGCTGCAACATCTCAAACCACAAAGTGTGTCTTTGTCTATGAAAGTCAGTTATGCCGTAGTTTTGAGCACATCCCTCTAGTTCTTTGTCGCTTGAAAATGCACTCATCCAGCAACAAAGTGTTGATCAGTGCTCTGTGTTGTGTTGTCATTACTTGGTTCTCCCCTAAGGAAGAAAACACAGTTGCGAAAAGTCAAGCGCACATTGGATATTGAGGAACGAATGCTGTTTCATGGCACAGGACACAGCAACATACAAGCTATATGTACTTTTAACTTTGACTGGCGGCTGACAGGAAGCCATGGTGATGTCTATGGCAAAGGTAGATCCCTCTGTGTTGTGATGTAACATCATGAAACAATTCACTATATTTTTTTTTTGTTTGAGTCTAACATTGTCTTCACACTTCTCTCTTCCAGGGAGCTACTTTGCCCGGGATGCCAAATACTCCAGTAAGTTCTGTCACACCACAGGGAAGCACAACACAACCCTGCAAAGACATGGACTTGCCCCACCAATATTTGCTAGTGAGCCGCCGTATAAAACCATGTTCCTGGCCAGAGTGCTTGTTGGAGAATACACAGTGGGTCATCCTATGTACTGCAGACCACCCTCCAAGGATGCCAGCTTCACCAACTTTTACGACAGCTGTGTGGACGATATGGCCAACCCAAAGATTTATGTAATTTTTGACAGCAATCAGATTTACCCAGAGTATCTGATTGAGTTCTACTGACGCCTAACAAGAAGATATGTGCTTTTCTATAGAGGCTGGATCTCAAACATGGAAATATTTCGGATACAGAATCAGATGACGGGATGAAATTGAAAAGACATAACTGGAGCATGGGTCATCTAAAGTGCCTTTGGGGATATTGGATAATCGAGAAGACAATAAAGACTTTGTGCAGTTTGTATACTGTACAGTCTATTCTAAGACAGGACCTTGTGGCTGGAATGTTTCTGTGACGTAAAAAGTGTGAAAACACTGACCGAAGATGAATCTGTGTGGCAATTTTGTATTAAATGCAGAATCTGTGCTTGCTTGTTCAATATCTGTTGTTTAAACTAAGAGCGGCACTCGCAGCCTGTAGGTTATAGGTGATGTCCTGCCATCAGCCACAGCCCTTCCATTACATCCACAGTGCCACGCATGAGCTTATTTACAAGTCATGTAGACGGAATTCCAAATGACAAAAATCAAAAACACACAACATGTTCCCGCTCACTCATTTAGCACCGTGGTCTATTAGTGACATCAACATCTGTGTGTACCTAGTACAATGTATTATGTAGGCATGGATTTTTGTTTTTTGTTTTTATTCATAAAAACACTTCTACCTCTGATTTTTTTTAAACCATGCATCAGTGCACTTTTCCCCCTTTCCATGAAAGGTTTTGTGATTGTGTCACAATGACATAAACTTAAGTTTTAGCATTACATGTGGATTCATATCATCTGAGTGTGACGTCACCACCACCTGCTAACATCTTTCTATAAGGAATAAGCAGGAAATGTTTGCACCTTGTGTAAATGTATAAAAAAAGAATTAATGTAGCCAGCACATGTATAGTACTGTAATGAAAATAACCACACAATGTAATATTGCTTTGCTGTGTGCAGTTGTTGAGTTCATTGTATGATTGTGTTTGTGTGTTTTTGCGCAATCGAGTCTCTATAAGTTTACCACAAGGTATTGTAACAGTACAAGAATGGATCTTGAGAAACTCTTGCATTTCCTTATTGTAAATGCGGACAAGTGAAGAAAACAACCCAATGTCTTCAGTCATGACACTACAGCTGTGTGTGTGTTTGAGTGAGTAGGGGTGTGTGAAGCTATATGTATGTCTGTAATTTGCACATGTTTGAATTAATAAACTTTTAAACATAAGCATCATCATTTTTTTCTTGTAGAACATCTTTCAGAGAAGTTTGTTAACAATTGCCTTGCAGGTAGCAGTGTCCTCTTGCATTCATAAGTGAGAAATCCCGCCTACCTCAGAAGGCGTGGCTATGAATGATGAGTCATATGAGTAGGAAACACCACTGTCAACTTCAGTAGCTACCTGAGCAAATCAGAGAGAGTAAGGTCACTTTTAAAACGTATTTATTTAGCTTTTGTTGTGATATAATCTAATAAATTCTGTCTCGGGACTATGTGGTGCAATGAGGAAGTGGAATACATGGACACATCAGACATCCCATGGTGCTGGTATTACCTGGCAGACTGTGGAAGGTGGCACAAATTTGAGGTAAATGGTTTGGTACTTTTCTTTAGATCACATTCAAGCTGTTACTTTACAAAATGTATATAGGGCTGATTGTCTGAGAGCAGTCTATTACCTTCTGTCTACCCTGTAGGATGATCCCAATAACCCCCTTCAGAGTGAGGATATTGAAAAATATTACCTAAGAAACTCAAAAGGAGTCTTAAATACATCTTCATCTGACTGTCACAGCAAGATCGATTTCTTGGGTATTTGAGTACATTTTTTTCACATTAGGACCTTGTTTAGATATGAAGAACTTGTATGATGTGATTTATGTGTTTGTATACAGAAATGTTACAGACAGACATCCCCACAGGAAGGCAAAGACGAATCCAACGAAGCTACAACATTGAGAGAAGGTGAAATGAGGCTTAAAACGCATAAATGTAACATAATTCAAACGTACAACACAGAGTTGTGGATAGGTCTGTCTTAAGTATTGTTTCCTGTAAAATGAAAGTGAAACTGTCAGCACTATGCAAACTCTCCTCCTACAGTTGTTCCTGTTACACTGCTGCTCCTGTGTTCTGGGAGATGGTTGATCCTACATTTCCATATCAGGTGACAATGACAGAAATGTGTAAAAAACTATTTAGTAGAGCAAATCATGACCAAGGAATTATGGGGTTCTTTCTCTGGTCTGAGAGAGAAGAAGTGTCATTTAAGCATATTTCATACACAAAGTCAATACATTAGCTACAAAAAAACAAAGAAATGAATAAATAAATAATATATATAATATATAATATAATATAATATGGATATGTTATAACTTTACATCTTATAATACGTCCTCATATAGATGAAAAATTTGGTAACATCTAATTTAATAAATAAGTCATAGTATAGTTAGTCATAAATAAGTCATAGTATACTAAGTCATGAAGAAATTATATTATAGTAAAGCATAAAAATGTCATAGTATGGTGAGTCATGAACACATAATAGAATAATAAGGCATAAAACATCATTGTATTGTAAAGTAAAGCATTACAAAATCATAGTATAGCAAGGCATGAAGTGTCATAAAAACGTCATGGTATAGTCAGGAATAAAATATCATAAAAACATAATAGTATAGTGAAGCATAAAACCGCATAAAGACATCATAGTATAGTAAGGCATAAAAACATCCTAGTGTAGTCAGGCATAAATATCAGAAAAATGTCATAGTATAGTGAGGCATAAAAATGTCACATTACAGTGAAGCAAAAAAAGGTCATAAAACATTATAGTATAGTAAGGCATAAAAAGTCAAAAAGCGTCATAGTATCGTAAGGCCTAAAAAGTGAAAAATCCACCTGATATAATAAGGCCTAAGAAGTGAAAAAAATTACAAAGAATAGTAGGGCATGAAAACGTCATAAAAACATCATACTATAGTAAGGTATGAAAAGTGAAATAACTTCATAGTATAATATGGCATAAAAAGTCATAAAAACAACATACTATAGTAAAGCATTAAAATTGAAAAAACTACATAGTATAGTAGGGCATAAAAAAGTTCATAGTATAGTAAGGAATCAAGAGTGAAAAAACGACAGTATAGTAATGCATAAAAAGTGAAAAAAAATAGTATAGTATGTTATAAAAAGTGAAAAAATACATACTATAATAAGGCATGAAAAGTCAAAAAAAGACATAATATAGTAAGGCCTAAAAAGTGAAAAATACGACTTAGTGTAATATGGCATAAAAGTAAAAGTGAGTATATCAGGGCATAAAAGTCATAAAAAAAACATCCAATAGTAAGACAAAAGTCAAAGAAAAGCGTCATAGTATAGTAAGGCCTTAAAAGTGAAAAAAAAAAAACAACANCGTCATAGTATAGTAAGGCCTTAAAAGTGAAAAAAAAAACAAAAGGGGTATAGTATGGCATAAAAAGTGAAAAAACTACATAGTATAGGAGGGCATAAAAACGTCATAGGATAGTAAGGAATAAAAAGTGAAAAAAAAACGACATAGTATAGTATGGAAAAAAAAGTGAGAAAACATCATAGTATAGTAAGGCCTAAAAAGTGAAAATAAATGACATAGTATAGTATGGCAAAAACTTGAAAAAATAGCATAGTATAGGAAGGCATAAAAAGTGAAAAAAACACCATAGTATAGTATGTTTCTCACTTTTTTTTCCATTTTATACTATGACGTTTTTTTCACTTTTTTCTGGCCTTACTATACTATAACATCTTTTGACCTTCGATGCCTCACTATAGTATGTACCTTTTTTAAATTTTTTTAACATACTATACTGTGTTGTTTCTTTTCACTTTTTTTGCCTTATCATACTGTGTCGTTTTTTTTCATTTTTATGCTTACTATACTATGACGTTACTATGCCCTACTATATTATGTAGTTTTTTCATCTTTCATGCCATATTATAGTTTGTCGTTTTTTCAATTTTTTGGCCTTACTATATTATGCCGTTTTTATGCCCTAATATACTTTGTAGTTTTTTCACTTTTTATGCCATACTCTAGTATGTAGTTTTTTTTCACTCTTTCGGCCTTACTATACTTTAACGTCTTTTGACTTTCGGTACCTCACTATAGTATGTAGTTTTTTCAAATTTTATAACATACTATACTATGGTGTTTTTTTCACTTTTTATGCCTTCCTATACTATGACGTATTTCAAGTTTTTGCCATACTATACTATGTCATATTTTTTTCACTTTTTAGGCCTTTCTACATTATGACTCTTTATGCACTTTTTTTTCCATTTTATACTATGATGTTTTTTTCACTTTTTATGCCATACTATACTATGACGTTTTTTCGTTTTTCATGCCATACTATACTATGATGTTTTTCCACTTTTTATGCCTTACTATACTATGACGTTTCTATGCCCTACTATATAATGTAGTTTTTTGCACTTTTTTATGCCTTTCTACATTATGACTCTTTATGCACTTTTTTTCCATTTTATACTATGATGTTTTTTTCACTTTTTATGCCTTTCTACATTATGACTCTTTATGCATTATTATTCAATGACGTTTTCTCACTTTTTTTCCATTTTATACTATGATGCTTTTTCGTTTTTCATGCCATACTATACTATGATGTTTTTCCACTTTTTATGCCTCACTATACTATGACGTTTCTATGCCATACTATATTATGTAGTTTTTTTCACTTTTTAGGCGTAACTATACTATGGTGTTTTTTTTACTTTTAATTCCTCACTATAGTATGTCCTTTTTTCACATTTTATAACATACCATACTATGTTGTTTTTTTCACTTTTTAGGCCTTTTATACATTATGACGTTTTATGACTTTTAATGCCTTACTGCAGTATGTTGTTCATATGACTATTTATACATTAGAAACGTCATAGTATAGTAAGGCATAAAAGATGGAAAAACATCATAGTATAGTATGGTATGAAAAATGAAAAAACGTCATAGTATAGTATGGCATAAAAAGTGAAAAAAACGTCATAGTATAAAATGGCAAAAAAAATGCATAAAGAGTCATAATGTAGAAAGGCATAAAAAGTGAAAAAAACTACATTATATAGTGGGGCATAGAAACGTCATAGTATAGTAAGGCATAAAAAGTGAAAAAAACATCATATTATAAACTACATACTACAGTGAGGTATCGAAGGTCAAAAGATGTTAAAGTATAGTAAGGCCGAAAGAGTGAAAAAAAACTACATACTAGAGTATGGCATAAAAAGTGAAAAAACTACAAAGTATATTAGGGCATAAAAATGGCATAATATAGTAAGTCCAAAAAATTGAAAAAACGACATACTATAGTATGGCATGAAAGATGAAAAAAACTACATAATATAGTAGGGCATAGAAACGTCATAGTATAGTAAGGCATAAAAAGTGGAAAAACATCATAGTATAGTATGGCATAAAAAACGAAAAAACGTCATAGTATAGTATGGCATAAAAAGTGAAAAAAACGTCATAGTATAAAATGGAAAAAAAGTGAGAAAATGGCATTGTATAATAATGCATAAAGAGTCATAATGTAGAAAAGCATAAAAAGTGAAAAAAACTACATAATATAGTAGGGCATAGAAACGTCATAGTATAGTGAGGCATAAAAAGTGGAAAAACATCATAGTATAGTATGGCATAAAAAACGAAAAAACGTCATAGTATAGTATGGCATAAAAAGTGAAAAAAACGTCATAGTATAAAATGGAAAAAAAGTGAGAAAATGGCATTGTATAATAATGCATAAAGAGTCATAATGTAGAAAAGCATAAAAAGTGAAAAAAATGACATAGTATAGTATGGCAAAAACTTGAAAAAACGTCATAGTATAGTAAGGCCTCAAAAGTGAAAAAACGACATACTATAGTATGGCATAGAAACGTCATAGTATAGTAAGGCATAAAAAGTGGAAAAACATCATAGTATAGTATGGCATGAAAAACGAAAAAACGTCATAGTATAGTATGGCATAAAAAGTGAAAAAAACGTCATAGTATAAAATGGCAAAAAAAGTGAGAAAACGTCATTGTATAATAATGCATAAAGAGTCATAATGTAGAAAAGCATAAAAAGTGAAAAAAACTACATAATATAGTAGGGCATAGAAACGTCATAGTATAGTGAGGCATAAAAAGTGGAAAAACATCATAGTATAGTATGGCATAAAAAACGAAAAAACGTCATAGTATAGTATGGCATAAAAAGTGAAAAAAACGTCATAGTATAAAATGGAAAAAAAGTGAGAAAATGGCATTGTATAATAATGCATAAAGAGTCATAATGTAGAAAAGCATAAAAAGTGAAAAAAATGACATAGTATAGTATGGCAAAAACTTGAAAAAACGTCATAGTATAGTAAGGCCTCAAAAGTGAAAAAACGACATACTATAGTATGGCATAGAAACGTCATAGTATAGTAAGGCATAAAAAGTGGAAAAACATCATAGTATAGTATGGTGTGAAAAACGAAAAAACGTCATAGTATAGTATGGCATAAAAAGTGAAAAAAAACGTCATAGTATAAAATGGCAAAAAAAGTGAGAAAACGTCATTGTATAATAATGTATAAAGAGTCATAATGTAGAAAGGCATAAAAAGTGAAAAAAACTACATAATATAGTAGGGCATAGAAAATGTCATTGTATAATAATGCATAAAAAGTGAAAAAACGTCATAGTATAAAACGGAAAAAAAGTGAGAAAATGGCATTGTATAATAATGCATAAAGAGTCATAATGTAGAAAAGCATAAAAAGTGAAAAAAATGACATAGTATAGTATGGCAAAAACTTGAAAAAACGTCATAGTATAGTAAGGCCTCAAAAGTGAAAAAACGACATACTATAGTATGGCATAGAAACGTCATAGTATAGTAAGGCATAAAAAGTGGAAAAACATCATAGTATAGTATGGCATGAAAAACGAAAAAACGTCATAGTATAGTATGGCATAAAAAGTGAAAAAAACGTCATAGTATAAAATGTCAAAAAAAGTGAGAAAACGTCATTGTATAATAATGCATAAAGAGTCATAATGGAGAAAAGCATAAAAATTGAAAAAAACTACATAATATAGTAGGGCATAGAAACGTCATAG